CTTAAGAATGTTTTAACTAATATTCTGGATATCCCTACTACATGCCAACGAAGGAAAGCGCTGTACTGAAGAACATACCGAAGTGTGCAAGGACAAGACCCGTCGTGTGAAGTGCGCAACTGCACCAGTAAAACCTCCGATTCCTTGATGTGCCTTTAAATTTCGTCACAACAAGTCTACATCAAAATATTCGAGTACGCTCTCCTCGCTCCTCGAGGATCGCCACAATCATTCCGTCTTCAAATCTGAAAATCTGTTTGAATTGTTCATTTGAAGCCCCTATTTCGCCTCCGGTACGATCTAGCAAATCTAGTATCTGACAGGAATGCAACAGGCCTGCAGGTACCGGCTGCGGATTCTGCTAGCTTCCCCACACCCTGAAAATTGGCAGGGGTAAAATTCAGGTGCAGGTGTAGCTAGGGAGTCAAAAATAAGGTTGGTGATGTCCTCAAAATGTTCCCACACACCCTGAATCCATTCAGTTATCAACAGGGACGACTTTTAACAGTGTTGTCCCCTCACAACCGTGTGCCTGTCATTAATTGTAACACACCTTTCTTAGCTAACAACTCACTTTTAATCCTAAGAACTGCGTGTGCACGGCGGCCCAAATTTATTTCTTATCGCGTCTCAATTTCCCTCGAGCTAATGGAACAGTTTCCATCTTTCAATATGCATTTTATCCAAATCATAATTCTCAAATCTGTCACAGCCTTTGCCTCCAGTTCGCAACTTCAAGTGAGTGTCACAATTCTTCACGGTACAAGTACAGGTCCAAGGTCTCGCGGTCCCTCACCTTGCAGCTCGCTGTAGACCAGTATGAAGAGTATAGTGCATCTTTTGGGGCGAACAAAGGTTGTTGCAAGAAACGGCACGTGGGCAGGTGACGAAGGCTTTAGTCTGATGCAAATGCATGTATGATACGTACACTGTATGAATATCTACGCACCCATCTGACCTCCCTGACATCGAATGCAATAAAGGCACATGCAGTCTCTGTTATGCAAAGTGAGGGGTGCTGGTGTTCCGAAGTAGGGTAGAAAGATTCGAAGCGAAGTCAACAGCCATCATCGAGTACACGCAGCGGAGCATTGTCGAGTCGGGCATCAATGACCCGTCGAATAACACGTTCCACTTCAAAGGGTCTGAAGTAGTGCTGGCGCAGCTCTGGAGAAAGAGTTAAACATGTTGACAAATGTGTTATCAAAGGCTCACTTCATGTCTGAATGTCGGGTACGTTATGGGAAGCATCGTTTGGAAGGTCCAAATTACTTTATCATAGCGGCGCGCACCATAGAGTGCTGCGTGCTTCGAATTGTATCCAAGATAAGCCAAAGAGTCAAGTTCAATGACCTACGTATTGTTGCAATAAGCATTGGCTTTGGGACGATAGCTGCCATCGCACCTTCTGTGCATCGAGAAGTACTTCCATCCATAGCATTTTAACCTACTTTGCCTTAGTATGATTTGCAAAGACAGCATCAGATGCGGGATTCAAATTGATGCCGCTGAGTATTGTTCTGTCATATTGCTCGCAGTGAAGGCGGTCCAGGCATCTCCGTTGGCAGCACAGAGCACGCTGCATTCTTGTTTGAAAGCTGAATCAAATGTCATTGAGGATAGTAGTCTTCATGACATCACGAACTCCAGACTTGCCGTTGGACCAGTCAAGGTACTAGTATTTTCGTCACTGATCCGTCACGCAGCATCAGCATGACCTCGAAGTCTATCTGCCTGAAAGAGTGTATCACATCTCTGGTGAGCAGTAAGTTGCAAAGACTCGAGATCCTAGCCGAAGAGCTAGACAAAGTCCCAGTTTATGAAAAGCACTATGTACGCATAATCTTGACGCACCATAGTCAAGTCCTCATACATTAAATGAATGGTTTCGACGAGAAGGCGCTTGAGTTGACAGCAGTAGTGAAGTGGCCAGAAACTTCTGAACTTTATTATAATGAGCACCATCGAAGACTTTGGTTCTGAGCTGAACACATAGATGGATGTCTAATATGCGAGTGAAAAACATCAGTTTTGATGACCGAGCATTGCCGCACGATACTTACTTCCACGACACGACACCACACCCGAGAGGATTGGTATTCAGGCAAATGACAGTGAGTCCGTTTATGAGAAGCATCACTTCCTCATGGTGTTCTGCGCTGAAGAGCGCGATGGCCTGAGATACACAATGAAGCAGAGAATATGCAAAACAAATTTAACATACCTTTGTGAAGAGAAGAAAAAAGGTTAGTTTTTGAATCTTGGTTCGTGAACATGGATGCGACGTCGAATGCTATCCTTGCCTCCTGGACGTGACCTCGGTCGCGGAGGGCGATACCTCTGGGGACATAACCTGTCAATGAGGGCTGAATGCTGATGGACTACGTCATGAATGAAAGTTAGCCTTTTGTAAGAGGGCCATGATGAGTCGGTATAACTCACCTTGATTGCATCCTCCCAGTGATTTTTTCGGGCCATAATGGGTGAGCTATGAGTATATAATGTATGATCGTTAGCATCGATGTGGATGTCCTGGGTGACCAATTCTTCGGCGGAAGACAAGTCCCCAATTGAATCTTGGGCTGTCGTGATAGCTGGGGTCTGCATGAACGATGCTCGAATTGTGTGATGAGTCTAGGATGGAAACTCGCCCTTAGCGTTAGTAGTGCTCAACGCCGCAGTCCGGTTCTGAACGTTCACTTCGAACAACTTTTCCGAACCGGACCCATGGCCCGGCCACAGGTTCGGCATGGTCCCTGAACCGAACGGTCCGAACCTCAAATTCAAAACAGGTTCGGGGTTCGGAGCGACATTTATTTGCACTTCTTTGTAAATTGTGGCTCATTCATGCTTGCGTCGGCGCTTGCTCACACGTGTTGATGTCTGCGCTCGTTGGCACCTTGTCACGCATGTCTGCACACATCCTTATCCATTCACAAATGCTGATGTGTTCCGTCCAGCTGGTGAGTACTTCAAGTTCATATCTTGACCCATACATGTGATCTTGCATTTACAGTACTCGGGCCGCGGCTTTGGCCTGGGCCTGGATTTTTTACACTGCCAGCATACAACGCGCTTACTTTGACGTGAAGTTGAGGTTAGTGCGCTGTATGCTACTGTCTGAGGCGACGGCCTACAAGCCTGCAATACACAGTCGGCGGTCGAAAACAAAATATGCAAATTGAGGTTACACAAGTTTGGAGCCAGGCTGACTTGTTTGACTTCGAGCAACCAGACCTTACCGGTATACCCTCCAGGTTAACTTGGCCGATTAGCAGGCAATGACAGCAGAAAAGCTGTATATTCGGTAGCAACACATTTTTCGTTGAAATTTGACACCAAACGCAGTTGATTGAAATACCTCGTACCGGACTCGGAGCTCAGCGCTCGACGTTTAGTTGCCTCTCTCGTAATAGGTTTATTTGGACCGTCAATTCCAAGCAATTCCTTTCGCAACTCGCTTCATGCCACCGCCTCCAATAACTCTCAAGCACTCACTATTCAGAAGTTCTATTTTCTTCAACCTCCACAATTCAAGGCTTCGCCAATGGGAAAACCGCACTTTCAAAAAATTGATGTAGGACGTATTCACTACTGCAACGAAGAGAAAATCGGAGCAGAGTTTTGCCAATCCAATCTACGATTACTGATAGCAGGCGAACGACATGTACGTATGATGCATCATACTCTGCTCCCACATATATACATAGTCAGCACTTAGTGATGGATTACTGGGCTCTGTTCGCTTCTCCTGATCATGGATCCGGCCGTTACCCCGCAGTACTTTTTCGTAATACTATCAGCACCTTCGTCTGGCTCTTTTGTGCGCCCGCTGTCACCTATGATGCAACACCTTGGCTATGATGACATCATGTTCGAGCACAGGGGCTACGCCTAACATGAACTTCGATCGAATTCGGCTGCAGGGATCCAGGCATACCAGATTTGCCCTTCCATTTCTCGATGCCATCATTAATGAACGTTCGACCAAAGTCAGCTGAGCGGCTGACAGGGACCTAGGCACTTAGTCTGCGACACGCTTGCCCTGGGCCAGAGTGTCCCAAGACATTCTCAATATCAGAACCTTTCGGAATTTGGATGTCATTTAAGGTCTAGGTTGGTTTATGACAGCCTGTCAACATCACATGAACATAGTACTCGGAGGGTGGCACTCCAATGTGACCGAACGGTGGGTATCTGATGGTGGACCTGGAGAGTCGCGACCTGGCTGGATGGGCGTCAAAGGTACTCCCAAGAAGTTTCGAAGCAAGTTTGATGTGATGAAAGGAAACTGTCAGGAATAAGTCCTGAGAACTGCAGTCGGTGCTGGATGCTTTCTCTCCTTGAGTCGTCAACAACATGTATATTGAGCTATAGCTCGTCATCGTAAATGCAGGTAAGTAGCTGTGTAGCTTATAACATGAGTTGACTGAGTCCACCATACAGCTCGTCATAAATATTAATATGTCTAGCATCAGCGCCGGGCTGTCACGGTCTTAAGCCAAGGATCATTTCGCTTCCAGCTCATTAAGCAATCCAGCATTCCAAGAATTTACCGGATTTCTTCATGTAGTACTTGTTCGGCTCATCACACACATGATCTTCGAAACGCCAGATGTATATGACTGGCGCGTGACGCCTATAGCCCACCTCCTGACCAGGGAGCCAGAAAAAATTTGACACACAAGAACTTCGAATATCCGCCGCACCGCCGCTAGTCACTGTCTTTCATCTCCGTTGGCCCCTCTTATTCAATTGAATTCAGGCTGTGATAATAACAGTGCTGATGCGGGGACCTTCTACTACTACTAACTAGTATTGGGAAAGAATGGTACGCAAATTCAAGGCGCCGAATTAGTATTGTCGCGCGCAGTCTTATGACCCAGATTCTCAACTCTTGTCACCATTATGTCTGTGTTTTCGCCGCACCATCTTGGCCCCATTCGTCGAAAACAGCCGAGGATGCTCAGCATAAAAGCTCAGCGTTCTATGATCTTTCTTTTGTCAATTCCTCATTACATTGTTGAATCATCATCCTACTAGCGACCTACATCTTATACAATGCCTTTCACCGACGATGGAGTGTATTCTATCAGAAACGTTGGCAGAGGCCTCATGCTTGATCTCACGGGCAACAACACCGCTGAAGGCACCCAGATTCAAGGCTACCCATCAAATCACACCGTGGCCCAACAGGTATCTATCCGCGTTCGCACACATCTTGTGACTGATTCTCATTGCACACATCATGTCTACTAGTGGGTGATCAAGAGGCAGAACGAGCCAGGGTCCCCCAACAAGACTGTCACCATTCAGTCTAGCAACAGCGGCAACAATGGAAATGGATGCTTTGCTACTGCGAGCGAGGTATGCTGGATCAACCTGCATTCATTCATTTGGTTGAGCTTGTTGGTTGACGCGGACGCGGACAGGATTCGGATGTACCAGTCGTTTATACCAAGCAGGCGTTCATCATCGAGCTTGTTGGACGCAAAGACAATGCTTATACGTGAGAATCCGACACAGTACTCAGGAACCTATTTTTGCTAATTTAATGACTCGCGTATACAGAATGCACTACACTCTCGGGAGCTCTGACCTGGTGCTATCCATTCCGAGTTCGAGCCACAGTGAAGTAAGTTGATGAATATTTTTTCCAAGCCTCACGCTCATCACGTCCACAAGGTGAAAATCGAGAATTACGACGCAGGAACTTCCCGCCAGCAGTGGGAACTAACTCGTCTTTCTAATCTCGCGCCAATCGTTTAGTTGTCGCCACTAGGTACCACCGTGACCTTGCAGTGTTCAAAGTCAGCACTGAGCTATTGGAAATGTTCTCGCATATGTGTACCAGTACTACTACGTCTCGTGTTAGCTTCCGTCGTTCATGTGTATGTTGATGAATATGATTGCTTCAATCGTCTGGCTCTCTTAGGGAGATAAGTGGGTATTCATAATGGCCATCAGTGCCAGTGAATTGTTCGAGCATATCGGTATGAATTGGCATGGTGCCAGGAATGAAAGTTTGTTGCATCCGGCATTTTCCTGATACGCCCTGAGTTTTAATTAGGGTTGGAGATTCAATGTCAACTACTAAGACTCGCTAGTGCACTTGCGGGGTGTCTCAATTAAGTTTTGAGGGTGAGCCTATCTTTGCGTGTGTCGGTGATGATCGACATTGACAGAATAAATTTGGAAGTTTGGATCGGCTTTCAAACCATGTGGACGACCGATTCGAGCCGATCAAGCCCTTTGTTCCTCACATCCGCATTTAAAGTTTCCTGGGCACTTCAATTCGGAGTCACCACTACAACCAGCAACAGCCATGTCTACTGGAAGCATCACAGTCCCAACTCCGAAGAAACGTCGCACTTACGTACGAAAGCTTCAAGACCCCTCAGAATCTGAAAGTGTACCAGGAAAATGCCTTTTTCCGACACTTCCGCTCGAGCTCCTCGCAGAAATATTGATCCAAACCAATTCTCCTCGCGATGTTTTATCTGTCGCTCGCACATCCAAGCTTTTGTGTTTGACACTTGTCTGTAATCCCGCTGCCGACTTCATCTGGCGCACCATTCGCAAGAATTGCTTGCCTCACCCACTGCCTGATCCCACCCCAAACTTCAGCGAGGCGGCATATGCCGCGTTCGTGTATGATGGAGGGCCTTGTGATGTGAGCAAAATCCCTTCGCCTGAGCGGAAATAATATGGACTGACGGTAATGTGATCGGTTGATGCAGGCGTGTAAGGAAGACACAAAAGAATTCTATGCGAGCTTTGCTATACGGTTTCGTTTGTGTCGTAATGTAAGTGATGACTTTCCAACTTCTTATAGTGTGTATTGAGCAGGATCATTCATCGTACTATAATAGCTGCGTTGCAGGATGGGCATCAGGTGGGACATGTCTCAACTGAGTGAATGAATTTGATTATTAATTACCTTGTTGCAGGAAACATCTTATGGATGTTACCACTATTTTCAAAGGTCGTGCACGTGAGGAGATATGGGTTCCTTACATGGAGTCCACTCATTGCTTCGGTAACTACATTCCAGTTTCCGAACATCCTCATATTTAATCATAACTTTTCAGATCCAATCCTCGGCAATGCATGTATGGTTTTCTCCTCACGTTCCTCGAGTCTATTGTGCTTAATTGAAGTTGCAGGGCCCGAGAATCCCACCATATTGATGAAGAAATCCGATTGGGAGCGTTTTCGAGCCGATTATGCAGCGTTCTCGGCTCTATCTCCGCCTCCGTCTGAGGCGCTGCAGAAGGTTGGATGAGGACACCTCTGCATCGCTAGGAATTATCTCACATAATCATTTAGGCGTGCACTGATCAAATCGCGAAATTTCCCAAGGTCATGGAGGTGTGTTTTTTTTCGCAAGAGTCTGAGTCAAATGTGACTAGTAGTTCAGTTAGCAGTTGCGTTACAGAAGTGGAAGAGCGCCTATGTCACTATGCACAGCACCATCAAGACCAAAAACGAACAGTGGCAAGTAGGACTTAACTAACCATCACAACAGAAGCCTAACGGAAATGTAGGGCGAAGGCACTTGCTGCCCAGGAAGGCTGGAATGGTCCTGATTTACTTAGCTCTCAATCCTATGGTTCATTGCACAGGCACAAGAATCATGTGCTGGAGGAAGTCACGCTACGTGGTATGCGAATTCGGTCAGGCTCATATGGATAAATCATTGTCTTACCAAGTGCCGTCCTATCAGATTTCCTTCCGATAAAACCCTTTATCGAAGCCCAACTTTTGAAAATGCAAATACACCGCCAAAATCAAGAGAACGAAGCATCTTATCGCCAGCGTCGCGACGACGTCAAACAATACTACAATCGCCTACGGTCCGCTGGAACAGTTGTCCCATCGCTTTATGAGTTCCGCAAACTCTCGGTTATGACGACTATGCAGGGGAGCGTGACAGGTTCAAGGCCCAATTCCAGTGGCCTTGCAAAAGACATGAAGAACTCGGCCCTCGTCGCGGAGCTCGTCGCAGCTGATTTGAAGATGTGGATGGCGTCTGCACGGGAAAAACTATCCGAATTACTTGGGTTTCCCAAGTGGAGAAGTGCGAGCAAGACGAAGTTGCATCCACTGGATAGGATCACTGCGCGGTTTATGTGCCAGGGATGTGGGAAGGTCGCAAAGCGGTATGAGAAGGAACGATGTCTCGATTTTGCAGGCGTCTGCGCACATGAATGTCCTAGTAATAACAAGAAAGATAGGAAACAAGTGGATTGGAGTGTCGATCGCTTCGTAAAAGATGACGAGGTTTGTTGCTTGATAACCCTCCGACAACAATTGGCTCAAGTATACTGTCCTCCTATGTCCCATTACATTCACAGGCATCAAATGCAGTTGCACGCCTCCTGACGCTCGTCGGAATTACCGACGAGGATACGAACGCATGCAATACCGTCAAGATGCTTGGAGCACGCATTCGGTGTCTTTCTTGTGAACATGCATCCATCATCATGGACTTCCCCACCCTCGTTAGTCACTCTTCTTCTTCATCATCATCTTGTTTATTTAGGAAAGCTCATACTGCTACGCGTAGATTGGCCACTCGCACCGGCATGATAACATGCAGATGGTTATACTACCCGAAGGAGAAGGGTCAGAGTATCCCTTTGCGGCGGGGTTGTCTGCGAGACTTATGAACATGGGTTCTAAGCCACAGAAGTTGAGGAGTGAGGTGAATTATCGGTGCCGTCATTGCATTCCAGCCAGCAAATCAGCAGATGCTGGCACAGATGGGGAGGGGCAGGTCTCCGCTGGGGAATCTATTGCGAAGGAGTCACACACGGAGGACTCACAAACTGAGGACTCACAAACGGGGAACCAGAATGGCCGCCAGAGAATCAGGAAGAACAAACTCAGGTCGATGAACTTCAACGCGCTTCGCTCGCATTTGAAGGAAGTGTGAGTGGTTTCGTGAATGACACTGGTGATAGGCTCATCTCACTTTTTGCAGACACAGAATAGAGATGGTGAGCGACGAGGATTTCTTCGTTCAAACTCCCGCGAAGTAGCAAAACTAAGAAGCCCAAACGAGGGGCGATCTGTATCATATCTATTCATTCTTTGCTTCAATCTATCTGGTGTACTATGATGAATTAATTGGCTAGAAAGTCATTTACCCAATCAAGGGGAGCGGTGTCTGTTACAGAGAAAAGTGGTCCGGATCTTCATGGAAAGGCGTCGCGATAAATCATTGTCATTCCCGCTCGAAATTATCAGTGAATCGCGCGAAACTAATCTTCGACTCCCTAGGACGGCCTGTACATACACATGTTATCCTTACATGGCCTCGAGGCGGATTGGATCAAACCGAACGATTGTCGGCATGTTTCAAAACCGAGCTGGCATAGGGCCTCCAGGAGTAGCAAATCTGTCATCGCACCTGCTTGACTGTGACTGGTTGCGAGACCTCGGTCGATGGTGGTGATATAAGGTGTGAGGTGCACGTTTCCAACACCCTCCTCTTTGTGGGAGTTGGGGATTGTGTTGTCATACTTGTGTATCTGTTCTTCACGTGAGTGCGGAAGGCTTCGACATGAATGAACTCGACAAAACTAATAAAATGGGGGGTTTGACATAGATGATCTACAGTAACAATCCGACCATCATTTGCGCTTCACAACGCCAGTACCGAAAGGTATAATCAAATTGCACATGGCGCAGGCCCTAGTATGCCTAAGATTTGAGTATGCGTTCAACTACTTCCTGTGCAGCCAACACCAAACCGTCGTTGTATATGCGGCCCACGATTTGTAGCGACGCAGGAGCCCCCTTGAATTTCGCTGCATCATCTGTATGCAAGGGTCAGCTGATGTTATCCGACATGAGAAAGAGAGACTAACAAAGAGAGAGGTTGTACTCATCTGCCGCGCTCATAGGGCTGGGTGGTTCCTGATATATGTCAATGGCTGGGTCAGCGACGAAACCTGACGGGAAAGCCGTCCCAGGGTAGTCGAGCAAATTCCAGATGGCAGTGTAGCTAATGAGCTATTAAGAGTCTGGTATCAAGCGAGAGACCATGACGCACCCCCAGTATTTTGCAGTGTCATGACGGCTGGCTGTACCTGGGAAGGGTGGACAAAGGACGACATCGACATTTTGGGACCACCAGTGATCAGAGTATTCCCTCCTGTATTTATCACGTTCATCACGCAGCTGATCAATGTCAGCGCAAGTGTCGATGAGCATCAAAATGTTGTCTTACCTTCCAAACTTCTGATGCATCATGATCTCTCACGTGTGGTGGACTGATGACCCACTCTGTCAGGGGAAGTATCTCTTCTCCACTCTCCTTCAGAATGCGTCGAACTGTGGCTCCTCCATCCTCATAGTAGAGCTCGCGCTAGACACAGGTGAGTAACAGCATTGCCTTACATATCACCAGACTCACAACTATGCTGTATCCACGATCGTGGTCATATGGAATATAGTCCACCACCTCAACCTCTGGTGAGGCTTCCAGCTTTGCATTTGCCCACTTCAATGCTCGAATGATTGGGGGATGGGGCGTCACAACCCCGTCGTGCATCATGATTCCCACACGCAGTTTCCTCTTGGTCAGGTCTGGCACTTTCAGTGGCACTGGCAACACATCTGGGTCCAGGAGTGCAGGATTGGCTCCAAGAACAGCTTCAAGGAAAAGTCGCATGTCTCGCGCTGAGCGACACATTGGACCTACAGAACTAAAGAATCCGTCCTGGCCAGGTTGACTGGGCGATGTCAATATAATTTGATGACAGAGCTTGGTATACTTACTACCATAGGACCCCATGGAGAGGCGTGGTCCGACATGATGGACGGAACCCATATATACCACAATGGGCCGACGGGGCTCGAATGGATCCTCCGCCATCACTTAATTGGCAATGCATCAAATTCTGGTGTGATATGGAGGAATACAGACTTACGTGCCCACACCTATGCAAGAGCCCTTCATGGCAATAAGGGCTGATTCACCGCCAGAAGATCCTCCTGCAGTAAGATCCGTATTGTAGGGATTCAACTATGGGATTTGTGTCACAGAAATGTGTTTCCATTCGAGAGATTACTTACTACTCGGCCGTAGGTAGACCTGGACTCAAGGTGCATCAAAGTCTGCGGCTGATTCGTCTTGACGTAGAAGACTGCAACTCTGCTCAACTAAGAGAATATAATTTTAGGCATAATTTACGTACCCGCACCAAGCGAACGCAGAATTCTTGTCATATCACAGTCTTCAGTCGCAGTCTCGGTGTTCATGAGGAAGCCTGCAGACCCAACTGTCCCTTTGACCGGAAGCATGCCCTGACGGCGATCATCTGAGATAGATCATCGTAGTTTGTTCAATCTGCACTTACTTTGATTGAAATTGGCAATCCATGCAGTGGCCCAATGACCTTGCCTTCTTTCCGGAAGTACTCGTCCAGCTGTTGCGCCTGTTTTATGCCTTCATCGAGGAAGAAATCGATAAGACAGGCTGTGAGCTGATGAGCGATAGCTGCACGTTTTCCAAATGCAGTGACAGCATCAACTGCAGTCAGCTCGCCTACGGCGATCTTTTGGCACACGGCGGTTGCATCCAGCTCGGTAATAGCCAGCTCTTTGTGCGTGAGCAAGCCACAGGTCTCGGGAATGTGAGTAACATTAAGAGGTGGGTCTTCGAGAATTGCTGGTGGAAGTCTGAGACTCGCTGGAATCTTGGCTTCAAGTTGTTCTCGGAAGATGTGAGCTTTTGCCTCGTATGACGCATGGCCGCCTACGCCTTTGATTTTCTCTTTAAACGAAACTGTAGCCATTGTTAAGAGGGAGATAGCGCAGATATGATTCAAGCTTGATTGTGATATATGTACGACCTCGTACCTGAGAGAAACTGTCAGATACGCATGAGTATCCTTCTATAGTGTGGGCGCATGACATGTCTCGTGCCCGCAATGATAACAAAATGAAGGTCATAGAACTAAGAACTAGACTTGTGATCAGCTGCATTAAACGATAATAGGGGGCAGATATTATAATTAGAGTGTAATACCATTCGATAACCTCCAATTTGGCGCGTGGTCGCGGCGTCCGGGCCATGCCCATGCTAGTTAATAACGGACAGTGCACTTCGGCCGCATTCCAAACCGGTCTTGTGGATGGTTCTCGTGATATGATCTGGGCTAGTAAAGTACAGGCTTGGCTGCACAGATAACCTGTTATATGATTCATGATGGTGACAGCAAGTTTCTTTTAGTAGCACAATGAACGAAGACTTATAAGAGATTGCAGGGTCTGCGATGTCACAACGCTTGGAAATGAGTTAAAGTCGAGTGTTTCTGCGGTGAGGGCCCGGGTCCATGCATAGGTATGGCTGTAGTATAAGTCATATAGACTCGCACTCCGAGCAAGTCGTCTTGAGCGGGACAGTCACATGAATAGATGTAAATTTCAATTACTTACTAAGCTACGGGCCTACGGCAAGCCGCAAACGGGCTATAGTCTATTACTACTCCGGTCTTAACCAAGCCTACCTCTGCACGCGACCGCAACCTGATCGATGTACATTTTTCCTTCTAGGTGGCTCAGTTGTACGTCTACTATATCGTCGTCTACGTCCTGCTGCAGCACACACGAGTGGTTCATAATGAAAGTCTTCTTTCATGTCATTTGCAATCTGAAGACAGTGAATAGGGTTTTTCTTCCAACAAAAAAGTTCAGTTAACCGTCACTGAACGAAACAACGCTAGATTAGATATTTATGCATGCGCAGGATTCACCACATCCGTAAGACCTTCAACCTGTTACAACCTCTGTCCTATGGCTCCGATAATCACTGTCTCCCAACGACCCGATGCATTGGGATCTCCTGCACCGATACGGAATGAGGTTTCAAGCGTGTCCGAAGATGGACAACAGGTTTTCTGAGAGTAACAGGAAACGTGAAACACCGGTGGACGATATCGACGACGAGCGTGTTTTCAAGCTAAGGAAGAAGATGGTTGGCATTGAATTGGGAGAGCTCAGAGTTGTATGACCTGGGAGTTATACCTATCAAGCTGAAAGTGAAGAAAGAGTCGACAGAACCGCAGCCTGCTCCATCTAAGACTGCTGTTCACAAGGTCTGCCTGGCTGACAGCGATCTGGACAGCCCGCATACAGCCTGATCCATATTCTCATAGTAAGTATTTACAATATCTTGCCCTGGATTGGATCTTTACCTCCCCCAGCTGTACATACACACCCCAATCACGTTTCCTGTAAGTCATACATACTGCCCGGCTAGTTTCAACATGCTAGATTGATCTCGCAGTGATTTTCCGTTGTATATGATGATATACCGGAACTGGCTCAAGTTTACTCTAGACAAGGAGCATAGACTGGTCCAAAGCTCGAGTCCACTCATCCATAGACATCCACAATACCGATGGTCCAGGCAACCGAACTCTCGAAGAAGATGGACCATATTTACTCGCGGTTCCTACGTTATCGAGCTTGCTACAGTACAATACAGAAAGGTACGTACTCCTTCGTATGTATTTCCTATCGCTGCGATTAATTATTTTGGTTCAGGTAATGTTTGTTGCACTACGATCAATAAATCGAACGCAGCAGCAATGGCAAAGCAGACTTGCAATCAGGCCTCGTTATCGCAATCCCAGCTAGCGCCACCTCAACGCCCACCATACCTTTTGGTTCAGGTATCCATATCACCACAGCAAGTGGAGCAACCGCGCAGTCACCACCCGAGTCCCGACCCATTGTGGGCTCCTCTTGTGCTTCTTCTTTGCTATACACCTCCCCCATACGACGGGGTGCAGCGTTTCTCTTTCATGCTTCCACTTACTCTCATCTCTTTGCTCGTGTTTTTCGCTACTTTTTTTCCTTATCACGAGAGTTGCGTAGTGCATCGGACTTGACAATACAATGCTAAATTGTGAGCGAAGGACAGCTTGATCGCTCGTGTCACTGTTTTCTTTTCCGTTGGATCAGACAAACGGAAAAAAATACCATGATGAAATTTGGAAGGAGAGTAGATAATTTGGCGTCAGTACAGGGAAAATGGGGTGTGATGGCATGCTCACATGCGATACATGTAATGAGCTGTCACTGCCTTGTGTGGAGCAAGTCGGACCCTGCCAGGTCGATTTACTAGTGAAAGAATTGTTCTGGATATGCAGTCTCCACCAAGACGAGTACGCAGCGTTCAACGTTGCCACAAAATAATTTCATTCATGTCAACTTTCACTCATCTTCGTGCATCAAGTTTGCAGCCACTCATGACCGAGGTGGTATATGGTTTTCCGAGAAAAGGATCGATTGTGAATGCACTGTAGCAACGTCACGATCGCGCTCCTCTACACGCAACCATGAGAATGCACACACCCACCAAGATCAAAATCATTTTGTAGACCTTATCGAATAAATTCGAATATCAGCTTCATACTGAAGCTTAAGCCACACCAGGTCTACATGAAAGCCAAGCTGAAATGGTGTAATGATGGTTTGCCCTTTGGGTTACAGCGAGAGTTAGAATTTAGGGAGTGAGAAGGTAAAAAGGAAGTGGCTAGATAACAGGACTGTGATACAGCGGACTGTTCGATAGCTCCGTCCTAGGTACTGACACTACTGGTATACTACTCTGCCTGCATATATCCTGCAATGTTGACGGCATCGAGTTGGAACATGTTGAAGGGTTACCATAACCTAGTCCTTACGTATAGGAACATTCGCACAGCACTGGTACCTGAGCGCTGAGCGCTTGATCTACACAGCAATAAGCTGTGAAATGAACACGAGGATTGCGCATGGGACGAACCTTAAAAGACAACATGAATGAACGGGTGCGTAGCTTCCTTAACTCCCAACCAGACGCCCTCTGATCGCTGGTGAGGGATCGTCCAAATGATATTGCCCGTAAGTGATAATATGGGCTTTTCTACAGGATACAACTGACCAGATGCTCGCCAGCCACTTGGAATACCTCTTGCACATTCCGGTATTTCCGCAGCACTTCCTCCATAGACAGTTCCGAAGTTAGAGTCCTGGGTAAAGAGCGGACCTGTAAGTGGGCTGGCTTATTAGCAATTACTTGCATGCTCTGACAAGAAGTAAGGTGGCGGAGACAGGACTCACCAGCAATTATTCCTGTTGCCGGATAACTCGACCTGATTTCAAGATCCTACCTCTCTCGCATACATAGTCCCCAATCTGTCGTAGTTGAGATACTGAGCGCTACTCATGTCTTCCTCCAGTAAGACGCGAGAAATCGCGCCTTGTCATATGTTGCGAGGTCATACCAATTGGGTAAACGGTGTTGTACATCTGCATGCCGGACAACAGATCATCACATGTTCAACGAACGGCTCATTCCGACTATGGGACCTAGAAAGCGGCACACAGATGGGAGAGGGCTGGATAGATGAGGATGAGATAGGAGTGGGGTGCATGGCATTGTCTCCAAACGGCAAGACAGTTGCAGTTGGACGCAATGACGGGAAAGTGAAGTTATGGGACGTGGAGACAAGGAAGGTTATTGCCAACTGGGCAGGACACACTGATGTTGTGGGTGCACTGTGCTGGAGTGGAGATGGTAATTTAGTGTTGAGTGGATCCTGGGATGGGACGGCAAGAGTCTGGGAAGTCAAGCTTGTCAAGAGCAACCAAACTGTCCTGACAATCAAAACTGGGCACAAGTGGGTGTATACGATGATATATTCACCCGATGCAACCAAAATTGCGACGAGCGGAGACGACGAAGATGCAGTCAAAATCTGGGACGGCAAGACAGGCGAGTTGCTTAACACGCTCAAACATGACTTTATAGTTCGGAGCTTGGTCTGGACGTCTGACGGTAAGAGACTTATCTCTGGTTCATACGACCCAATTAGGATATACGACACAGCCACCTGGCAGGAGATCGCCAATCTGGGAGGTCGCACACTCTTGGTCAACGCCATCACTTTGTCCCAGAACGACCGCCTTCTATGTGCATCAGACCATAAAACAGTGCGTCTATGGAATATCGACACAAATCTGCAAGTCGGTCCACCCCTCCAGCACGAAGATGTTGTACGCTGCGCGGCCCTTTCCGCTGATGGAAAGCTGCTAGTGACTAGTTGCCAGAACAAAAATGTGTACACATGGGACATTCAGGCCATCCTCAAAGAAGCTGGCCTTGAAGACCTCCTCCAACCTTTATCTGATGTAAAGCTCGTGGATCTCCACTCCAAATTAAGCTAATCTCCCCCTCACAGGTCCCAGCTGAAAAGTCGGCGATGAATGTATGTGACGTGTTTCTTGGTCTTTTCAATCAATTTAAGATCGTCACTCTAGAGCGATGCTGCTCGGCATCCACCTATTCAGGTCCGTCGAATACCGCCAGCCTTTTTTGATGGCGTACACAATGGCGCTCAGGCGAGTCATCTGCTTTTTGACCTGTTCTTGTTCTGACCTATGTACTCTCAGTCCTCTGCAGCACACGGTACACATCATTGTTCTCCCGCCCGCAGTACTCGAGCACCCCTTCTCGAACGCTTATCATCCCTCTTCCACCACTCTCACTGGAATACCGATGGTGCAACCGAACTTCAGCGACGCCCAAGGCGGTCCATATTCTCTCGTGGTCCTCGTATTGTTGATGTTGCTACAGTACAGGACAGAAAGGTATTTCATACATTTATTTGCAATCACACTGGTTCAATAATTCTGTTCAGGCATTGTATGTTGCTCCGCGGCCACGACAGCAGCAGCAAAGGCCGTTGCATGGCCAGGGCTCGTCGCAATCTCAGCCTACCGCCACCGCCACCACCACATCTACCACACCTGATCAAGGTACTAGCACTGCCGCACCAGGTGCAGCAACCGCGCAGTCACCACCTATCCCATTGTGGGTTCGTTTCGTACTGTTTCTTTGCTGCGTATCTCCCCCGTACGTCAATGGTCATTAATATAGGAGCAGTATATGTACAATCATCTTATCCTTCGCGTCTTCTACTATTCCATCAACCTTGTTTCCTCGTCATGAGACTCGTGCTATCATGCTAGCAGTCCTAACAAGAACATTATACTCATTCTCAAGCTTGGAGTCCTGGCACGTGACAGGCATGCGGGGCAGCAGTACGTGAAAACAAATCGAAAGCTGAAGGGTGAAACTACTACTTGTGAGGACCCTTGATCGTAAAACAATTTTCTCAGACCCGTTCTGCGTCTTACTTCGCAACAATGTTTGAAATATCAGTGTTCTGTTCCAACGTTTTCGTCAACGGCAGAGCGCAACTATGATTGAAGCATATGTGATCTCGATTCTTGTACGTATTATAATAAAGGCGCCGTGTGACTTGTTAACGTTGCAGGTTGTTGATATTTGACGATGAACGGAATAGGTTGGACCCAAGATCACTAGTTTTTGGTGACGGCGTGGTTATGGTTTGGGGTGAAGTGTTTTCTATCGCCATATAGTGCAAATAGCTGCAAGTATTCTACTGAGTACTAGATCTCCCAATGATCATTGATGGCGGAAATGGATCCTTGAAAAGGGTATCCAAAGAACTGAACTACAAGGAGCATATCATAATTAACGAAGATCCACGTCTGATAATACTGCCATCATACGTCAATGCATGGACCAGCCATCCATCCTAATCATATCGCACTGCACCTCCTTCAAACTTACAACTTCATGAGCCCCTTCATCGCATTCGCGACCGCAAAGCTCGACTTGGCCATGACCTGCCGCGATTCCTTCGTGACTTCTGGCAGCGTCTGTACCTCGGATAGCTTCCGTGCGTGTTCGCCTAGCTCCCGCAGTAGTTCTGCACCCTGCTGCGCGGACGCAGGGGGCAGGTTGTCGCTGCAAACGGCGACAATACTCGACACGATCGTGATAATCTGAGTGAGGTTTTCGTTTAACGTCGGCGGCGGTACAGGGCTGCGGACGCCGGAAAGGACGCTTTGAATCGCGTAAACGATGGACTCGGTCTGTGCCTCGAGGTAGGGCTGGAAATTGATATCTGTGAGTCGACAAAACGAATAGATGTGCTAGTAGAGCTGACCTTGAGCTCGGACCAAGCGTCCTCACCGCTTTCAGGCGCTGTTGAATCGTCGCTGATTGCACCCAACGCATTGTTGACAGGAGACTTGTCAAATATAGGCGGAGGAGAACTTGTGAGTGAACTAGACGGCTCAGACGGTGTTCGTCTGCTATGAGCCTCTGCAAAGCGCGATGCTGCGGTCATAGGGGGCGATACGACATCTTCCGATCGTCTCGTGCTAAAGGTAGAACCCTTGCGTTCAAAACTTGGTCTCACGTCTTCCGTCGAGCGCGCAGAAGATAGATACGACAGCGAACCAGAGGAAGACATGAACTCCTCCTGCTCGGCCCGACTAGCCTTGCGGATGTATATCATTTTTGCGATCTCCGTCAATGTTACGGAGACGTGGCTCGCGGCTGCGTCCAATAGGCTCACAGGAGACATGCCGGATGCAGTGGCATGTGTCTTCGATGCAGCTACAAGGTTAGTCAGGGTAGCCTCGGCGCGCTCACGGAGAGTGTGTAGGATATCGACGTCAACGTCCGCGCGGGATGGGCGTTGTTCGTATGCACGAACGTCATCGATGATGGCTGTGGTAGACGTGACGACGGCTTTCATCGGCACTAGAACGCGTGTCGGAGCACTGGAACGACCAGCTGTCAAAAGACTATCGATGGCGGACACAAACGCAGTGACATGTATATCGACGAGACCCCCGTCAGGGCCCATTGGCAATTGGTCTTCCATCTTGGGCGCTTGTAGGAACAGCTGGGATGTTGCTGACCATGAAAATATCAGATGATCGCCAAATACATCAGAAGGATATCTTTGCGGACCTTTGACGCTTCTGAGCTCGGTTTTGGCTTGTTCGTACTTGCGTTTGTATTCTTTGAGCTGGCTGTCCAGATCACGGATCACAGTGAGGTCCGAATCTTTCGCAGTCATTAACTCATCATTCCTGCGGGACAGATCGCTAAGTTCTGACATCAACCCTTCCATATCAGCACGTAGCTGCTCGATGATTTCACTGTTGTCCTGCAAAAAGATGTCAAATTTGGCAAGTCAAATTCAAATCACCGACGTACTATCCCAAAGCCAGAACTCCGCTCTTCTTCAAGGCGTTCGCAGCGGTCACGCAGTATCTGCAGTTCTTCCTCGTCGGCCTGTGCTCGTCTAGCTTCACGTTCCTTCTCTCTGGCCCGGAGATCCCGAATATCATCCAGCTCCCTTTGCAGAGCCTTCATAGCAGATCCATGCTCTTCAGCACGCTGTAGGCTCAACTTAGTGACTATCAGAAGAAAATTTCCTCAAGACCTACCTTTCGGAAAACTTCCAGCTCCTCTTCTAAACGGCGTACCGTCTGCTGCGTGTCTAGCTCCCGTTGCTCAAGGTCTCGTTCCAGACTTGTTATACGGCTCTGCATCGTGGCGATCTTGAACTCGTAATCTCGCCTCAAACGCTCTTGTTCATCGCCCGCTGCACTGGGCATCCTCGATCCGCCGATGGACCGATCGGACGTTACTGATGCACGTCCCAGAGAGACTTTATCATATTCGTCGCTCCTCACATCCCCCACGTCATCATCTTCCGTATGCACATTCCTCAGCCGTGCGCTGAGCCCGCTTAATCCACCTCGCTGGTCCCAGTGTTCGTGTTCACCGTCAGTGGTATCAAACTCTCTGACGCCGTCACGTGTATCGACGGCTGTTCCAGAACTCTCCCGCATCTCCCGCCCGTACGGCACTTCAATATCTTCTTCTGCGATGGTGCTCTTATTTGGGATTACCATCCCGCTCGTTGCGGTTGCACTCTGCGCATTTGTAGTTCCCGTCGAGTCGCTCCGGATACTTGCGGAGCCACTTGGTCTTCGGCCAAAATCTGCCCCTTGGTCATGGGAGGCTTTTCGTCGGGATGCATGGGTGTCCTCGCTCCGTCGAGGCTCTTCTTCGCGTGCGCTGCCTCGATCTTCGGATGGTCGCCCTGTGCGGGTACTGGGTGGAAGTATGGGCATGTCCGGCCGCGGAGATGTGTGGAATTCGGGCGAGGGTACATCGTCATATGCTGATGCGGGAGACGCTACCCCCGGGTCTTCCACCTGAACCCAGGCTTAGTATAGATTAAATAACGATGAACGATGAAAATACCTACCTCTGTAAATTCGGGATATCTTCTCATGATTTCAAAGTAGACATCGCTACAAAGATCTTCAAACTTGGCGCTAGGCAGCGTTGCCAATTTTTGGCGCGCCTGATTCCGCTTGGGATGAAATTCATCACGCACGGGAAGGAATGGGACTGTAAAAACGACTTGGTTAATGGTATTATATAGGTCAGGTGACTTACCGTCGTTCTCGGGAGTGTTCCTTCGACGTCGGACGAGTTCGTCGTACACATCAGTTGACAGTTCATGGAACTGCTGTCTGGTAAGATTGGTCAATTTTGAGCGTGCGTGGGCCCGCGACTCCTGCGGAGCTGAAGGCACGTGGTATCACCATAACATTGAAATCCGCATGAAACTCCAGACCGCACCTTTCACAAGATAGGACACCAGAAAACTGGCTAACTCGTCAAAATGCGTGCGTGCGACCACCCTGGAATTTACGGCTGGCACAGCCGGGACATTTCCTTTATCCTTGATCGGACGATAGGACTCGGTGCGGTAATTAGAGATTCCGGAAAAAGTAGTAGGTGTTGGGGAGGGGGCACGTGAAGAGCGTAGTCGGTTCATATTGACTCGTTGATGGTGGTGGTGGTCAGAGCCTCAGAGGCATAAAGCGTCAACACCTGTGCTGAGTTTGCCAGACGTGTTGGAAGTCGTTCGCAATGCTCAAGCCTCATTGTATCTCGGCGCCACGTGATCGGCACAATGTGCGCGCTTATGCCTCGGGCAGTGATCGCTAGCTATACCGTGACGATAACTGTACTAGTACATGTAAATGGGTAAAACAACAATGGGTGGTGCATCATGATATATGCTGCTGATTTGCGAGATCAAGCGCAGATCTACGCACCTCGAACGATTCCGAGTCACCGGTGACCGCGGCTATCTTTTGCCTAGCCTGCCATACCACTCATATACCTAAGAGAGCCGCACCAAAGCAATCTTATTCATCAAATTACACATACACAACGGAGGCAGATACAACAAGACGCAGTACATGTATGCGGGAACACTTTCAGTAACTCAGCGCTCAACCTTGAACACCTCTGCAAGGTCACGGTACCTAGTGGCGACGACTAGCCAATCGGCTGGAGATCAGAAACACAGGCTAATTCCCACTGCTGGCGGGAAGTTCCTGGGACGCAATTTTCGAGTTTCACCTTATGAACGTTATAAGCAGAAGGTTTTGGAAAAGACCCACCAGCTTACTGCACTGTTGTTCGCGGTCGGAATGGATAGCACCAGATTCTCATTCCAGAGAGTGAAGCCAGTACGGTACATCGGAGTCGTTAAATTAGTAGAAATAGGTTCCCGAGCACTGAGTCGAATTCTCACCTATAAGTATCGTCCCCGCGTCCAACAAGATGGACGATAAACGCCTGCCTGGTATAAACGACTGGTACACCCGAATCTTGCTCACGTCTGCGATCAACAAGTAAATGAATGAATGCATACCAATCCTGCATACCTCGCTCACGGGAGCAAAACATCTATTTCCATTGTTGTTGCTGTTGCTGTACTGAATGCCATGCCATGCTGACATGTGAAGCGGCAAATGATCAATATACCGCCAAGTACAGTACCGCGAAATAAAGAAGACAGCCTATTTGTAGTACGCAGCTCAGAGGTGAGTTTTGTTGGGGGGTCCTGGTTCGTTTTGTCTCTTAATCACCCACTAGTAGACGTGATGTGTGCGATGAGAACCGGTCACAAGGGTGCAAACACGTCTAGTAGCCACCATGTGCAGAAGGCAAGAAAATGTTCATGCATCAGTAAAGAAATGCGGTAAACTCTTGAAAATGCTGAATTGCCGGAAAAGCTGGACTTGAGCAAAAGGAGGCTAGACACATTGATATCTGTGACAAGCTGTATAATGAATTTTGTCATAAGTCATAAAGCCACTAACCTGCACTTACATGACCAGGATATACATTAATGTAGGCTACATGTCCATCCAGCACCGACTAAGCTGGGAACACGTGATCCCCGAACTGTCCGGCGGACTTAAGTTCCCGGACTCCATGATCTTAACGTAGTCGGAGTATCAAAAGCCCCAGAGTATCCAAATCCCTGACTTCCTGGACGTGTCTAAACTTAAGTCTTGGCTTGGTGTTGCGCGTCATGTCGTTAAAAGTACCAAAGGCCAATAACGTCGAGCTCTTTAAGAATGGCTACAAGGTATTTTTTTATACTCCCGATCTTCGCTTACAACGTCTGATATAATTCTTGCAGCACCTCCAGGGTCTCGAGGATGCCGTCCTTCGAAACATCCAGGCAATTTCAGAGTTGTCCGATCTCGTACGGACAAGCTTTGGACCAAATGGTACGCATATTACACTTATAATACATCTATCCTGACTCTCTGTCAGGTCGTAATAAATTAATAATCAATCATCTTGGCCGACTTTTCGTAACATCCGATGCCGCTACCATCATCAGGGAGATCGAAGTCATTCACCCGGCAGCTAAGCTTCTTGTAATGGCATCACAAGCTCAAGAGTCTGAGGTATGTCCTCTTCAATCTCATTTCTTATCTACCTGTTGACTTAAATCCAGATGGGTGACTCCACCAACATGGTCATTATTCTCGCAGGAGAACTTCTCAAAAAGTCTGAAAACCTCCTTGTTATGGGGCTTCATCCTAGTGAAGTAATCAAGGGATATGAACTTGCATGCGCGAAAGCTCTCGCGGAACTTGAAAGTGAGTCGCTTCCTCTCTTTCACACTTTCTTCTGACAACAGCACAGGCCTATCAACGTCCAGCCTACCTTCCCCTTTCACCGGGGAATCCCTCGTTACAGCTCTCAAACCCGCTATTGCATCAAAGCAATACGGTTACGAGGACACGCTTTCATCTCTAGTCGCCGAAGCCGCACTCGTGGTCATGCCCAAAAACCCAAAGAATTTCAACGTCGACAACGTCCGCGTCGTCAAGATCATGGGCGGCAGCCTTTCTGGCAGCAAAGTCGTACAAGGGATGGTGTTTGGTCGCGAACCGGAAGGTAATTACACTCAAATTCTCAATACAGCGCTCACACTCTCGCGCCCTCCCAAGGTATCATCAAAAAAATTTCAGGCGCGAAAGTGGCTGTCTTCACATGTGCCCTCGATGTTGCCCAAACCGAAACGAAAGGCACTGTCCTGCTCAAAAGCGCAGACGAAATGCTCAATTTTACGCGCGGCGAGGAGCAACAACTTGAAAGGGTATGTTTTTTCCATCTCATCACCTTCTACATCTACTAACTATCGCTCAAACAGATCTTTAAAGAAATCGCTGATTCAGGCATCAAAGTCATCATCGCAGGCTCGTCCATCGGCGATCTCGCCCTACACTACCTCAATCGCTTCAACATCGCCGTTCTCAAAGTCCTCTCCAAATTTGACCTCCGCCGCGTAGCTCGTGTCGTCAACGCCACACCCCTCGCCCGTGTCGGTGCACCCACCGCAGAGGAAGCAGGTTATGTCGACATCTTCGAGACGACGGAAATCGGTGGAGACCGTGTCACTGTCCTCCGTCAGCTCGCTTCTGGCGAGGATGGGTATCAGGGACATACAGAGAAGACGCGCACAGCAACGATCGTGCTTAGAGGGGCGACGGCCAACCATCTCGACGATCTCGAGCGCGCGATCGACGATGGCGTCAATGTGATCAAATCCCTCATAAAAGATCCACGGTTAGTTCCAGGTGCAGGTGCAACGGAGCTGGAGCTAGGCAAGCGTGTCGAGGCATACGGGAGCGGGATGAGGGGGCTGGCACAACATGCTGTGAAGCGGTATGCTACAGCACTCGAAGTCATACCCCGAACGCTCGCTGAGAACGCCCTGGGAGGTGCTGAGGGCAACGAGGTTCTCAGTCGGTTGTGGGCCAAGCACGAACAGGAGGGCGGCGAAGCCTGGGGTGTCGATATAGAGGTGAAGTTCACTAGTTCTGTATCATCATCCTTTGATTGATTGATCATATGCTAGGCCGAACGAGATGGCACTTTGCTAGCTACCGACTTCAAGATTCTCGACCCACTAGCCGCAAAACAGTGGGCCATCAAGCTCGCAACAGAAGCCGCTGTATCGGTACTCAGCGTCGACAGCATCATCATGAGCAAACCTGCAGGAGGACCCAAAGTCCCTCAACAAGCAAGTAACTGGGATGAAGATTAGGACACTGATACTGGAGTGTCCAGACTGCTTTACAGTAATTTTGCGCAGACCAGAAAAGGTACAAGTAATGGGAATAACAAATGCATGCAGCCGAAAAGAACGTTAGGGTGAGCAGCGAGAAATACTGTGGGGAACGTTGTACTGTACAATGTCTATGACAGATGTCCGCGAATGGTGATAGGTGACCCAGAGAATGGGATGCAAATGGATTACGATGATGGCAAGGAGTCCGCTGTAGAAGGGGGTTAGGTATGACCGTATACATGGTTTTTGACTCATCTCCCGCGGCAGGAGAGTCCTAACTCTCCGCAGGGAAACCTCCCGCTACGAATTTAGGCTAAGCATGTCAAATTTTCTCTAATTCATATAAATCTCCAGATCGCACCTTTCAAAAGGTGAGACACTAGAAAACTGGCTAACTCGTTGAAATACGTGCGATCACCCCAGAATTCACGGCTGACACAGCTGGGACATGGACGATAGAACTCAGTGCGGTAATTACCAGAAATTCCAGCAAAAATAGTAAGTGTCGACTCGAGGAGGGTGTACGTGAAGAGAGTAGTCGGTTCATGGTGACTCATTGATGGTGGTGGTCAGAACCTCAGAGGTATAACAGCCTAGGCCTCAACACCTGTGCTGAGTTTGCCAGGCGTGTTGAAAGCCGTTCGCAATGGCATCTCGGCGCCACGTGTTCGGCAAAATGTGCGCGTTTATGGCTCGGGGAGCTTTGAGGATCACTTAGACATGTTTGATGGGGCAGGTAAACATTGTGATATGAGACCGAAGGTAACAATGCATTTGATTAAGCTAAGCGAGAGCGATTACATTGAGAGTGTAGCGAGAGTTTCGGGCGAGGACGCGCAGCGTCATCCGCGGCCGGCTCCGAGGGTTTCCTCGCAGTGACCGGGTTTCAGGTATCCTGCAGGCCCAAATGATTCGGGTTATGAGGAGAGCGAGGAACTTGAATCGGGAACGATGAAAGAAAGGGAGAGGAGGGTGAGGAACGAGCAAAACGATATTTTTAAGTGCGAACGGATGTTGTGGCACGGAGAGTCTGAACAGTGAAGACATACTAGTACATGTAAATGGGTGAAACGATATAAGAGGCTGCGCTTGATCTGCGTACCCTCCTCGAATTATTTGCAGATAGCTATATTCTACCTCACTTATATCCCTGAGAGAGTCAGACCAAAGCAATCCTATTGCATCAACGTACACATACGCAACAAAGGAGACGAGTACATATAGGCAAAAACACTTCCAATAGCTCAGCGTCGGCATACCTCTGCAAGCTCATGGTGGTACCTGGTGGCGAAAACTAGGCAAATGATTGTAGATCAGAAACACGGGTCAATCGCCACTGCTGGTGGGGAGTTCCTGGGACGTAAGTCTCCAGTTTCACCTGCGAATGTTGTGAGTAAAAGGCCTTGGAAAAGAAATTTACCAACTTACTTCACCGCGCCTCGGACTTGGAATGGATAACACCAGGTTATCTTCCCCGGAGATGTATCTAATGCTGTACATTTGAGTCGTTAAATTAGAAAAATAAGTCGCTGAGCACTGTGTCAGATTCTCACGTGTAGGTACTATCCGCCTGTGGAACAAGATCGACGATAAACGCCTGCGTGGTGTAAATGATCGGTTCATCCGAATCCTGCGCACGTCTACGTCAACCAACAAGCAAATGAATGAATGCCGATCTAGTAGCATACCTGGTTCGCAGCAGTAAAGAATCCATTTCCATTGGTGCCGCTGATAACGGACTGAATGGTGACGATTTTGTTTGAGGACCCTGACACGTAATGTCTCTTGATTATCCACTGGTAGATGTGATGCGTAAGAACTAGTCGCAAGGCGGGTGCAAACGCATATAGATACCTGTTGAGCCGCGGTGCCATCTTCGACGAAGCCTTGAATCTGATTGCCTTCAGTGGTATCGCCCTCCTTCAGATCGAGCATGAGGTCTCTGGCAATGTTCTTCATAGTATACACTCCATCAGTGGAAAAAGGCATTGTATAAGATGTAGGTCGCGAGCAGTTTGATGATTCGATAGTGAGACGAAGAATTGACAAAGGAAAAGGCAGAGAATGCTGGTCTTTTATACAAAGTATCTTGGGTTATTTTCGACAGATGAGGCCAAGATGGGGCGGCAATAACACTAGCCTTGTGGACCAGTGGCATTGTCTGAGAAGGAAATGTAAGTCGGTGTGACAAGGCGTACATCTAAAAAGTTCTATCGCATAAACGCATTGTACCCTCCCCTCGGAGCACAAATCTTGCGACCGTCTTGTGAGAAAGGTGTTTCCGAGATTTGGGGCAGGTGGTCTTCGGACAGAATACAGGTAAGAGCCCAACTTGAAGACATGGCACCAATTTTGTGCATTCAATAAGAGCCTCACCTATAATAAGTATGCACCACTTCAAACCATGCATAACAGTTCGCTGCTCAACTTGTCCGTAGTACTAGTGAATAGGTCAGACATCTTACAACGCATGTAACTATATCTGAGGTTCACCAGCAGTACTGCTATATAATATGATTGCTGTTATACCGGGCTGCAGCTGGTAGTGGGGGTATAAGGCCCTGATTGAGGATTATAGAGCAAACGAGTTAGACACAAATCTATGTGAAATGAGACACGGATGCACGAATATTGCGACCAACCGTTCCTCATTACAGCCGCAATTCCCGCTCTACTTGGGAACTGTACCTGCGACGTGTGGAGTATTTGTACCTGAGTAAGGCCCAGCAGTAGCGTAGTCAGCCAATTTAGCAATCGTTCAATTAATCGTAGAGTCTGGATTGAGTCTGGAAGAGTCTGGATCAAGCCAGGTTTGAAACTCCGCACATACTACGTGCTTCTAAGACAGGCCGGTATCTTAGGCTAGTGACTGGCCTGACCTATTCACTAGTACTACGGACAAGTTGAGCAGCGAACTGTTATGCATGGTTTGAAGTGGTGCATACTTATTATAGGTGAGGCTCTTATTGAATGCACAAAATTGGTGCCATGTCTTCAAGTTGGGCTCTTACCTGTATTCTGTCCGAAGACCACCTGCCCCAAATCTCGGAAACACCTTTCTCACAAGACGGTCGCAAGATTTGTGCTCCGAGGGGAGGATACAATGCGTTTATGCGATAGGACATTTTAGACGCACGCCTTGTCACACTGACTTGCATTTCCTTCTCAGACAATGCCACTGGTCCACAAGGCTAGTGTTATTGCCGCCCCATCTTGGCCTCATCTGTCGAAAATAACCCAAGATACTTTGTATAAAAGACCAGCATTCTCTGCCTTTTTCTTTGTCAATTCTTCGTCTCACTATCGAATCATCAAACTGCTCGCGACCTACATCTTATACAATGCCTTTTTCCACTGATGGAGTGTATACTATGAAGAACATTGCCAGAGACCTCATGCTCGATCTGAAGGAGGGCGATACCACTGAAGGCAATCAGATTCAAGGCTTCGTCGAAGATGGCACCGCGGCTCAACAGGTATCTATATGCGTTTGCACCCGCCTTGCGACTAGTTCTTACGCATCACATCTACCAGTGGATAATCAAGAGACATTACGTGTCAGGGTCCTCAAACAAAATCGTCACCATTCAGTCCGTCATCAGCGGCACCAATGGAAATGGATTCTTTACTGCTGCGAATCAGGTATGCTATCAGATCGGTATTCATTCATTTGCTTGTTGGTTGACGTAGACGTACACAGGATTCGGATGAACCGATCATTTACACCACGCAGGCGTTTATCGTCGATCTTGTTCCACAGGCGGATAGTACCTACACGTGAGAATCCGACACAGTGCTCAGCGACTTATTTTTTCTAATTTAACGACTCAAATGTACAGCATTAGATACATCTCCGGGGAAGATAACCTGGTGATATCCATTCCAAGTCCGAGGCGCGGTGAAGTAAGTCGGTGGATTTTTTTTCCAAGGCCTTTTACTCATAACGTTCGCAGGTGAAACTGGAGACTTACGTCCCAGGAACTCCTCACCAGCAGTGGCGATTGACCCGTGTTTCTGATCTACAATCATTTGCCTAGTTTTCGCCACCAGGTACCACCATGAGCTTGCAGAGGTATGCCGGCAACGCTGAGCTATTGGAAGTGTTTTTGCCTATATGTACTCGTCTCCTTTGTTGCGTATGTGTACGTTGATGAATAGGATTGATTTGGTCTGACTCTCTCAGGGATATAAGTGAGGTAGAATATATATAGCATTTGGGCCCGCAGGATACATAAGCATGAGGTCTCTGTGCCGACGTTCTATACACTCCATCAGTGAAAAGGACATTGTACAAGATATACGTCGCTAGTAGTATGATGATTCGATGGTGAGACGAATAATTGACAAAGTAAAAGGCAGAGAATGCTGTGCTTTCATACAGAACATCTGGAACTGTTTTCGACAGATGGGGCCAAGATGGAACGGCAAAAACACTACTCTCGTAGACCAGCGGCCTTGTCTGACTGAAAAGAGAATGTGAGTCAGTGTGACAAGGCGCCTTCCCTAGCTAGAAGCGCGTCGTGCTTCCAAGAATGAACGCATTGCATCCTCTCCATTTGTACATGTCAAAATGATGCAGCAAAAACGTACCAGAAACAGTGAAAATCTAGTTTTCAACAGCCTCAACAAACCTGCACCCCCACAGAAGAGAATCCGGCGTGTTTTGGCGAAACTATCTGCTCAGGAGCTGCAGGTTGCTGAGAAAGCCAGACGTGTAGCAGAAAGGAAGCGCAGAACAAGCTGTAGTGCTCGCAATAGATTCACATTTTCGTACCCTTCACTCCTTTATTCAAGCTCTCCTCTGAACAAGAACTAGCAACGGCCTGCTGTGTATCGAGAATACTCAGAGCACGTAGTAGCAAAACTCTCGCGTTTATGTAGCAATGTCGTCCCGAATCCCGATGTGATGTGTGGGCTCCCAACGTTAACCCTGTTGCTAACATGACGGTTGCGCTGAGGGAGGGCAAAGTTATTAGCGGAATTCTTACGAATGTCTCGTGAAAAGGATGTTTTCGAGGCTCTTATCGAACCCTCTTGCTCCAGGCTCCAGCAGCTTGCACAATGTTGGTGCTATGTCTTTGGTTCTTACCTGTATTCTATCCAAGTACCGTCTGCCCGAAATCTCACCTATAATATAGTATCATCTCAAAACATGTATACCAGTTTGCCGCTCGACTGGTCCGTGGTGTATAGGTCAAACCAGTCACGAGCTCAACATACCAGCCTGTCCTCGTTCCTTATTTCTGGTATGTTTGGCAGGTCGAAGGGACTTCTTACGTACCGTTTTTGGTATGTGCGAAGTTTTAAAGCTCCTTGGCTGGCGACGGGGGATTACATAACGTTAACCCGAAGTTCGACATCCCACCAAGTGTCGTCGTCACCGTCGCTTCTTTTCGATCTTGGTTATACCGGCTCCACCGGTGTCGCTGTCACCGGTAGCATCGTTTCTGTCTCGGACATCATGACATTACATGATCGTCAACGTTCGCATCAGTTGTCTCGTGGTATGTATTTCTGGTAGTGTGACCCTATAATGTGATTCACACCTTTCGCATACAACAGACTAACGAATCACGATGTATCCTGTGGAGACAGTAGTATAAAATACCCTGGTTTCTCCATCAATTTCCGAGTTCAACTTTGTCGGCTCCATCATCTGGGCTAGAAGTAAGACTCAAAGGAGAGGCTGGAAAAGACATACTTGGATCCAGCGCTATGGTCCGCTAAGCCGATTCGGATGGAATGCACCTAACTTTTTACGCCCATGATCATCAACTACTCGATACCGTTTCAACTTCAACCACGACAAAGATATTATTAACTTCCGTATCATCTGACTATCGCTGACCGGTCAACCAGCTGACAGGTAAAAATAATATTTTGCTTGCTGTGAATAGACTAGCTGAAGTACTATGCAGAATCTCAGTTAGAAATCTATCCACATTGCATCATTACAACCCGGACCCTACAGTCGTAGAACCCTTTGACCCTCCGGGAACGAGTGTTGCTGGATCTGGAGAGTTGACACGAAGAATGCAGCTGCAGCGCATGGATTGGGGTTTGAGCGAGGCCATCTGCAAGGTCGAGCGAGCAACTGTAGATGATAGTGGTGCAGTCATTGATCCAAGCCTTTCAGATATGGACTCCACATCAGTCTTGACTCAACGGCTCAACCACAAACACCCACCTATTCAAGACAGTGGTCCTGTCTGAAATGCAACATATATGCGCCCCCAAGTGCACAGGAGTGTTTCTGCTTCGTGTGCGCCAGTCTCAACCTCTTCTTGACCTGTTTAACTATGCGAGGATCTACCTCCGATGAAGCGACTACGAGTCGAGCGCGTTCAGTGACTCCAAGCATTTCCGCACAATCTCAGTCATATTCAGAATCAGGAAGCCCAGCAGTCTACTTACGCAGAATTTTTTGTGACGCCTTTTCCAACTTCCGAATAGCCTGCTGGACTCCACTATAGTCTATAGGGTTGGCTCCGACGAAGAAAGCATTAGAAGTAGCGATGAACTCCATGCGCTCATCCATAGCGGGTAAGTCCTTGAGACTACATGCTGAGCTTTCATGAACAGTGGCTTCACAGGTTTCTGGAGGAGGATTTGGCCTATATCCTTACTCATCACAAGTGATCGACTACTGCGAGCGAAGTGGGGATGCAAGAAGTAGGTGGGAGCCTAAATTTTTGCGCTTCGCACAGATGCCGATGACAGCGTATCAGGTAGTTGAAATAGTCATTCCTCCATCTGTAATAAGATATTGGCCGTTGGAGTCCAACTTGAAAGCTCAGGCTGCGGCTCTTTTCGTGTCGCGCACTCAACGTTGTGTATTGCGCAGTTCATTAAATTGGCGTCATAGATGACAGCATATAAGGTAGTTGAAATAGTTATTCCTCCACGGGGCATGATGATTTGAATCCGCGTCCAAATGATATTAAGCCAGTAAAGTCTTGTCACAATACTGCCAGCAAGGTGGGTAAAAAATTGCAAGAACGTGATGCATGACAGGCTTCCAAGTCTCTCATGTGGCCCGAAGGAATGGTGACTTATCGGAAATAGTTCCGAGCTTCTGGGGCTGCAAGCGATCTCCAGACGCACATCAATGGTATTAGATAGTACGGGAAGAGCGGCAGTTGAATGGAGAAATATAAATAAATAAAGGCTACCCTGAAGAAAGTCAAGCAAAAATGGCCATTAAGCTCTGAGCCTCATGGTTGAAAGGATTATACGGCGCGAATTGCCAGCATCTTTGATAAGCAAATGTCATGCGAGGGTCAACTGAGGTAGAGAAGGATAACGTACCCTGGGTGGTTGAGAATAAGAGTTGGGAACATCTCAATACAACCTTCGGGAATCCTGGGCCAATGGACAGAGGTGGTACGATCATGATGCGAGACAACAAAAGGAAGCAGAAAGGTCATGTCCGAGCGTTCACTGATGCGACCGACGCTGGCTATTAAACTTCAGTATTTCAGAGACCCGAGAAAAAAGATTCGCACCTGCAATCAATTCGAGAAGGTCCAAGTGGAATATAATCGAACTGAGCAACGCGGGGGTAAGCGCCCTGATCTGTACCTGCATGACGGTAACCAGCGCAGGTCCAAAAGAGAGTCCCTCACGTAGAGCGCTTGAAGAAAAATCGGACTCATCCTGTTCAAGAGTATTGAATTGCGGGCGAAATTGTGGGAAAATAGAAGTACCTACCATAATCCATGTCGACACCAAATTTGTCAATGAAATTATCGATTCCCTGATAGTCTTAGTGTCAGGGTTGGCTCTGGTCGCGGCAACCTCCACCAAAGCATTCGCAGAAAAGAAAGTAGCGTCCTCCTCGAGGTGCACATTCAATTGCGCGAGGAGCGAGCGCACATAGTCAAGGAAAGGCGGAAGAGCGGGGTGACTGACAATGACAAGAGGCGCACATGCATAAACGCGATTCAGACCACGAATGAGTGTGTTCTTCATTAGTGCCATCAGATGAGGTAAAGCATAGCGTGAGTCAAGATTTTCGAGATCGTCTGGGATAGAAGGGAGAACAGGAAGAGGATAGGTAAGTGCGGAGGACATGCTGGAGTAAGATGATACTGATGGGGATATGTGCCATTTTTGATGTCTCTTATATAGGCAAGGAGATGGGTTGCATCGTTATGTCTTGGACACATGAATAGAGTTATGGTCGTCTTCCATTCCAACAAAGAGTCGCTCGACGCCACAAGTTATCGTCGATCAAAGAAGGCATGACTAGACTGGTCGCGATGATCGCCATGAAAAGGGTCTTTGTTCTTCAAGTTGCAATGAGACTTTGTGGTTAAAAATTTGTTGATTTCGACTGGCGTAGGTTGAAATATCACACTGGCCGTTCTTTAAAAGTTGATTTTGTTGTGATTGACCTAAAGTTATGCTGTCCGTCAAGTTGTAGATCGTCCACATAGATATCATAGAACCTATTGGCTTTATTGAAGCATATGAATTAATTCTCTCGAAGATTAAAGCGGTTTTAATACCAAGGTTGGCAAGCTGCTCGAGACTGATTTCACATTCATTCCACCGTTTGCAAGTTGTGACAGTCTCCAGTGATATCAGCTACGATATTGAAGCTCCAGAATCGCTTGACAACATGAATTTTGAGTTTGCTGTTGTAATGGGGAAACAATGATGCACCCGGGAGAATTTGCCTTGGACTGGGATGTGAGTGGGACGGAATTATTAGAAGGGAGAGGTCACGAAACCATCGCGTGTTGATAAGGGACTAGTGCCGGCACTAGCAGTACTTGGTAGACGAGATAATGCAGAAGCACATTAATGCAAGAACTTGGGTGGTCTCACATCAATATTTATATTGTAGCACACTTGGAGTGCCATGAAAATTTTCTTTGATTCCGCCAAGTTCTGTCGGGAGAACCTGTCCACAATACAAGCGGCCCGCACAAGTATCGAAGAGTGTCGTAATTCAGGAAGGCGGATCTGCTGGGACGATTCAATGAGAGGTGCTCACGTGATGGGAGCTGAGCACACCATCGCAAGCGTTCAGCACGCCATGACTGTTGCATAGTATAAGATGGCGAAACATTGAATTGAAACGTGGCCTTCCCCGTCGTTTTGACCGCATCCATCATGAACATGGTCCACTGTACACTTACCATCGGATACACCCTCATCAGTATTTGACATCCTGGACGTCTTCGCCTACCGAGCTGGGAATTGCCGTCAGTCCACACTGACACCCAGCTATACCGTCACATGTAGTGACTCACCAGCCCATAGAAGAGCTGAGCATCGAGTGCTGACATGGACATGCCATCCAAATTCCCATTGTAACACGTCAATAACCTCCTCAATGGTCCCACGATGATCTTTTTCACAAGATCGCACAATTCACATTCTCAAGCGCATTACTTACCCCATGTAATCAACAGGTAAGTAGCTTATCACGAGTTTTCTTTTTTAGATTCCGTATATCGTTGATCCCGATATCATCCGACCAATGGCATCGTGTCATTGTCCTTGTGACCTCCCCATCCGGCGTTAAGGCTTCTCTTACGCTTTCAAGTTGCACTTGGCTCGATTTTTGCACTCGTTTCAGGTTATCATTCGCTTCTCACATCAAATTCTTAACCTTTCTTTATGCGCCCGAGCACACATACCGCCCTTCTTATACTGCATCCGATGGATGTTGTCCTTGTGTTGTCATCGGCATTACCTCCGAATTCGATGAATGATCTCATTTATCGTCATACTGGGTGTCCATTAGATGACGACCCCTCCATAATTCGGATACTAACTCATTACTCTGTTTGTACGTATATCTTGCGCATTCCTATAAAATCCACGTTTCACCTCTTGTGGATCTGCATTGAGTTCTGAGCTCTTCAATATCATCATCCCCCAAACTGAATATTTTGACTGCGAACTGTTGCACAGCATCACTATGTTCTGCCCCTCTGATTCCTCTCTCTCCAACTCCCCATTGACCACCAGGTCGAATACACCATCCTCCGTATCTGACTTCCAGCTCACCAAAATTTTCCTCCTCTCCCCTACGCTACTGGACATACAATTCTTAAGAGATTTCTCCAAGAAGTTGGATAAGGGAACCGAGGACAGGATTGTGATTCCTGTCAACCATTCTGATGCATTCACCAGTGGATGGATTCAAGAAGCCATCAAATCATTACCTTGTGGTGTTGATCTTGAGGGAAAATACTGGGAGAAGCACAATGTTGATGGTAACGCACAAATCTAACTTTGCGAGACAATAATACTGACTCATCGTAGAAAGCTGTTATTTCACTGAAACGTGCGAGGGCGTTGAATTTGATGAGTGGGTGAAAGTTTGCACGAAAACTGGCAAACTTGTAAGTTATAGTCTTCTGAAAAATTCTGTTTGCTTTCTCTCGTACCTTGATAGCGGAAGTAGATGACATTTTCGTCTTCAACTTCGCTTATATTTTCTCCGTTCCGTGGGGCTCATTCTCTTCATCGTAGACAAGCGCAGCACAAGCCTTGAATATTTTCGCCTCCATTGGCCTCCGTTCGATCTTTGGACAATCTTCTCCATGTGGAGGAAGCACCTTATACGTCCTCGAGCGCCCGTCTATATCCTTCCCGCCTCTTGATCTTACGAGCCCGTGGGGTGTTCCCACGAAACAAGTATGTCGATCTTTTTCGTGGCTCTTGTTTGGTGGTTGATGTATAACGTTGCAGGAATGGAAGGACGTATGGGCTGCCTGGGATCTTGTTACACTTGGCATGATCCCAAGCGTAATGTTACACGAGAAACCTATCGAATTGCGACACAAATGCTTGTTTTACATCGGGCACATACCTACGTGAGTGTTACTTCGAGGTGCTTTCTCGGTTGCGTCTGAGTGTCGAAACAGATTCCTCGACATGCTTATGGCCCGTGCTCTCAACCAGTCGAATTCTGAGCCTTATTTCGCGCAGATCTTTGAGGTTCCAACCATTTTTTTTTAGTTCAAAGCATCGTTCCTGACTCCTTTTACATTAGCGGGGTATTGACCCTCATGTCGATGATCCGGAACACTGTCATGTATGTATTTACTTTCCTCGTTTGTTTTTCCCTGATGTCAATTTTGTATTAAAGAGACACTCTGAAGTTCCCACAACGGACGAGGATTGGCCTGCCCTTGGAACGATCCTTGGCTTCCGCGACCGTGTGCGTGGGCGCCTTCTGGCGTTATATGACGATTTGGCATCTGGAAAGCGCAAAATCAACAGGAATATTGGCCGCATGCTTGCGATGACCCTTGAACATGAGGGGTGGCACATCGAGGTCAGCATAATGTGTCTCTTATGTGTATAGATAGAGTCCTAAAAGCGTTTGGTATGGCATAGACACTCCTCTACATGCTCATCCAGCGTGCTGGAACAGGGACGCTCCCCCCGCCAGGATTCGTCACCCCGCCATGGGAAGCTCTGTCTGCACAATGGGATGCCTCACGTACAGCCCCTTCTTCATCGACTGTCACTCTTGGTCCTGTTACCATCACATTTGGGCACGACGATTGCGAGGGTAATGATTTCGATGAAGGCGTGTGCGACCAGGTTGAGGGACACGAGTTTGGCTGGGACAATGAAAGCCCTTCCCGACAGGTGCAGGTGGGGAAATTCCATGCCGAGTGGAGGCCAATCAGCAATGAAGAGTTCTATGCTTGGTGGCTGAACAGGAAGGAAATCGGTCTGCCACCCAGTTGGGTGGAAGGAGAGGAAGAAATTCAAGTTCGTTATTCAATCAGCTATGGATGGCTGGGACTGATTAAAATTGCCAGGTCCGCACTCTCTACGGTCCTGTGCCACTAGGTGTCGCGAAGCACTGGCCAGTGCTTACGAGTTACGATATGCTCAGTGAATATGCGAAGAGTAAAGGCGGGCGACTACCCACCGAACCGGAGCTAAGGCTCTTCCTCGACACATATGAGGTTGGATTCGAGGGCGGCGCGAATGTAGGCATCAGAAACTGGCACCCCGTTCCGTAAGTCACTATGCATTCCCAATTATCATATTTCACACAATTGGTTACAAGAGCGACTACTGGTCTCGAGGCAAACGGCGGTCGTGGAAGCAATGGTGGTGTCTGGGAATGGACTTCGACGCCGTTCGATACCCACGATGGATTTTCACCCACGGAACACTTCCCAGGGTACTCAGTAGATTTCTTTGATGGGAAGCACCATGTTGTTGTAAGTCTTGGCCGTCCATCATCTTGCTGTCGGTTGACACATGGGTTATGCAGCTTGGAGCATCGTACGCTACGATCCCGCGCCTTGCTGGGCGGCGGACGATTAGAAACTTTTATCAGCACAATTATCCATACCCGTGGGTTGGTGGGCGGATAGTATATGATGCGTGAGGATGAGTATGCTGGTTCTTTGTAAAGCAATTCTGTAAGTAGACAATGTATTGTACATTTCTCGCCGACATTCGATATGTTCGTTTCTGACTCGGAGATGGGCACATACCCAGTATATATATCAAGCCTGCCGTTAGAATGTCTACAACATCTCGCACGATGAGCTGACCGTTTTTCCACAACTTCGAAGGACCCTACAATTGCAGCTTTGAACTTCGTCCCTACCATTGATCATGTGCATGAGCGCTTGAGCTTGAAGCTTTCAACGATACACTTGGCTCGTATTACTAAGCGCGTGACCTGTTGACCCCTATATGCCAATGTTGCCCCTATCGACATAGGGATATATAATATTGGACAGCACTTTCCGACCACCTTTGACAATAACCATAATGGCGACCTGCAGTGGATGTACATGCGCCAGCGAATGCCCGTGAGTACTGATTTTCTTGTCGCTATCTCACACTTAAACTTTCTTACAGAGCTTGTGGCCCCTCAGGGACTGGCTGTGCTTGCCCAAAGAACCAATGTAACTGCCAGAAATGCGTCAACAGCGCACATTCAAAGAAGGTACAGTCATAATAATTCTGACGCTGGTCTTGTAATAACACTAACTGCTACTCGGTGCAGTGCTCTTGCGCTGGCACAGGGGAAAATTGTGAATGTTCTAAGCAGGGTGATGTGTGTGCTTGTGAGTCAAAGTGATGATTCCAATTAGGATGGAAGAGGCGACCGTCGTGGCCGTTCAAAGTATTGTACAATGTCGGTTGATATATTGCAAGAGAAACTGGAAACTTGATCATGGCTTCCGTGAAATAACATGCACAACGACATGTGGTGAGTGTCCCTATTAATTTGCAAGTATCTTCATCTTTCCAATGCTACACAAATTGCACACTACAACTCCCCGTTCTTTATAACTTTATGCTCTCCTGTCCGCACTGTGTAGCATTCGTGCTGTTATCTATACCCTGACACTGAGCTAGGCTCGCCCTGTTGCGCGTGATCTGATTCACTACCACATTCTTACCATCGTACGATCCTGTCAATGGTGTGGGCAAGCACGACCTAGTACTGACACGGTCTGTCACTGCAGTGCCAACCGCCTCGCGAGTTTAAAAATCAATGTCCTTATTTGTAGACCCTGTGTCTGGCATAGACCCAGGGTCTATACATGGGGGCTCACGCTTAACTATCGCGTATGACCTCGAGAGTTTGTCGTGACTCGGCAATGTCGCCATGGCCAAATTATTTCAATGATCATTCCCCCGCGCTATGTTTGTGTCTATTTAGTAATTCACTACTGAGCAACTTGAAGGTGCTACTACTACCACTACTAAATGTAAATATTAACAGCCTCGTAGACCAAACGCTCCTCATCAATGACCTAGCAGGACGCACTCTAGGTCATGCTGGACTTTCGCTTCGCAAGTTGTCAAGGTGTTTCACAGTTTCTGTATGTACATGCATTACCTTCTCAGGCTAGGGTCCGAATTTTCCGTAAAACAGTCAAAGTGAGTGACATTCTTATGAAGTCGTTGCCAGGGTTTTGATACGTGCTTGAGGAGAGGGTATAAGTACTAGTCCGTTGTCACTTACTTCTGAGTTCCTCTTGCACTTCCCTCTAGACTCACTATCAACTTCAACATTATGACCTCCGAGTCATGGACGTCGCTAGATTCTACTCCAGGCCGGCGCATTTTCTTTCGCCCCCTTGGAAGTTCAGAAAATGTCTTACACTGGACTGCCTCCAGAAACACCTCAGATACCGTGATGCACATACACCTTCGTACCGCACAAGCCAGCGATCAAGACGTTCATTCCCAATCGAATATCTTGCGTTCTTGGGTGTCTGTCAAAAAGCGCTTTCCCCTCGTCGCGGCTGAAGTGGAAGAACACGAGTTTGGCCCCCGCTTCATTATCCGTGAAGAAACAGTCATGAATCTTCGACCTGATGATGTCACATTCACGGAGGTCAATTCCTTTCACCATGCTGAATGTTTCGTAAACGACATTATGGATGGACCTCGGCGCCTTTCATCTCAGTTACTTACTCGTGCCTATATTTTGCGCCGAACAGATAAAAGTGACCATTTCCATGTCGTGGTTATGCTCGCCCACTGCATTACAGATGTAGCGAGCACGAGCACGGTGCTTAGGTCATTTTTTGACACACTGTCATCTCGGATTGAACCACCGTACATTCCTCTAGGCGAGAGAGTGCATAATTTTAAGGCTTTAGAGAGCAATCTGGGTTCTAGAGATCTTTCACTTGTCAAAAGACGGTGGAGGCGGGCTTTGGGTTATGCAATTGACTTGGTACGGATGTCTCGATTCAAGGTCTTTAGTGTTCAGTTTGTAGTGCCTTACAGGAGAGCTAAAGCATTGAAGCAGGGCGGTCACACTCTCCCCGGAGACTTCAGGGAATCCACACCTCATACTTCCGCTAAAAAACGCGACCATGTTTCAGTGTTTTCGAGAGCAGTGTCGTCAACCATTCTCACCAATTGCCGCCGCTATGGTATTACCATGAACTCTGCGTATTATACCCTCTGCCAAGTTGCCATGGCACGCGTTTTATGTCGACGGTACCTCAGGGGCCAGATCTCGGAAGAAGAATGGGAGTACAGGAAGCGCCAGCCCATGTATATCCGCGGGCCGGTGAACTTACGCCCGTATCAAGATAAGGACTGGTTTGAGACGGGCGGCTCGGGTGATGTTGGCTTCGGCGCCGGCATCGTCCAGTATGTGCTTCCCTTCATGCCTCTTGGTAACATGTCTAGGGGAGACCCTCACAGGTTGGAACTTGTTGATGGGGCACCGGACTTCCCGGATCTCATGTCTTTCAACCGGTTTCTTCTCCGATGTGCTAATGTGAAGGCGCAAGCCCAGAAGCTGCTCGGGCACCCACGGTTGGTTGACATATGTAGTAATTCCACTATGAGAGGCTATTCGACTCCTTCCGGGAGGGACATCGCTTCGAAGCGGGTGCAGACGAGAGACAGTGTTCAGCCAGAGGACGGCGATAAAAGTGTATCCGTTCAGTCTTTGAACCCGATATACACACATGTGGGAGCCACTCTCGGCAATGTCAGTGACTCTCTTTGTATATATTCAAATGAACTAAACGTTACGATTCTAGATGGATCATATGTTGCCCACAGAATATCCTCTGCCTCCCGAGCACTACCTGTCACCGCTGCACAGCACGCCTCACGCCCATCGGGCCGGTTATGCGCCATGGTCACCGCAGGCTGCTGCTTTCGAGGACGCCAAAACACCGCGACTTTATGTTGAGTACTGGCGTGTCCATCAACACTCAACGCCTGCCAAGCTGTATCTTGGTGCGTCAACTGCGCGCCAGCAGCTGCAATATTTTGTCTTCTACGATCAGCACGTCTTTAGCGAAAAGATTGTCACGGAGTGGTTGAGTGAGTTGAAGGATGCGACGTTGTGGTATCTGGGCCAGCCCCATAGCAATGGAACGCCTTTACAGAGCAAGTTATAGTGCCACATTGCAATGTTGCAAAAATAATACAAGAAAAGTACAGGAATAGTTGAGTAGTCGTAGAATTACAAAAAACTAGTTTGTTACATGGAACATTAGAATCTAATCGTCCTCCTCATCCTCCTCGTCCCAGTCCACACTCTCCGCTATTGCATCACCTTCGCTGTAGAGCTTGTCCAGTCCAGTCAACTTTTCAAGGAATCCGGGCTCGTTAAATGCCTTCAAGAGCATATCGAAACCTTGTTCCTCGTAGGCTTTGAGAACCTGAGCCATGGGTGAGTATAGAGATGCGGAGAATGAGTGATGGCGCTCACTGTCTCACTGCAACCCGTGCACTTGTCGTATGCTGCACCTATGATCGGGAGGTTTCTGAACTGTGCCAAGAACCCACGCAATTGATGCGGGACAAGACCCAGAACACTGTCCGACGTGCTAGGGTCTGCAGCAGCGCCATTGGCTTGAGGAGGGGGCGGGGGTGCATGAAGCCTGCGAATGACATCAGGAACAGTGTCTTGGCGTACAATAAGACCTACCCATCGGGATGTTGTAGCAAAGAGACAAGGAGTTCGACCGCCGTAGAAGCTGCGATCGAGGCAAGGCCGGGTCTTGTCACGGTACACATTTGATCCAAAGTACGATCCGTCAAGGACTGTATGGAAAGATATGTGAGTGAGTGTCGGTATGGAGAGTTGAAAGGCAATACATCAGCAGGAGCGACAATATCGTTGCAGTAATAGCAACCCAGTCGATCGCCCGTCGTCGAAGACGCTCGAGCGCCATGACGCATAACAAGATACGTGTCAAACCCAAGAGCAGCGTTAAGGACTATCTGCGCGAGGGTTCAGTACGAGCAATATGCATAGGGTCTTGTGCCGTACCTTGCCCTTGGCGGCGCCCAAAACAGTGGGCAGCCAGCGGCTTTCTCTAGAATCCATTAAGAGGAATACAACATCGTGTTCGTCGAACAGCGTCTCTAGATGCCTGACGTCTTTCTTCGCTTGTTCAATGGACGCCGGAGGTATAGGGTGGCCTGGCATGGGTATAGATATATCATGGCCTGTTGCATTCTAATTTACAAGTCATCAGAGATCGTTAAAGACGAGCGATACGGGACTTACAATACCGGGGAAGATTTTCGTCAAGCGCTGGGCGGCGCAAGCAGCCTTGGGTTTACCGCCGTTGAGACAATCCTCGAATTCAAACAACGGTTGGCGGACGGGATTCGAAAATGATACACGCGCGGAATCAACAAAAGTAATCGTACGGACACCCCATCCCTAGTGATGGAAATCAGTCATGACTGTGGGTTTGAATCTATCGGTACAAACCATGAGGGTACGTGCAACGTAGCAGCCAAGTGTCCCTGCACCGAGAAGTAGGCATCTTGTCGATGCTACTTTATCGAGGTCTAGCGAAGGTAGAATGCGCCAGCGCATCAGCTTCAAGTTCAGGTCCACAGCTTGGTCAGCGAGCCTAAAAGCCCATCAGCAGTGTTTACCATGAATCGCTGGACAACACATACCTCTTCGGATCCATCATGGGTGCCAGATCAGCGACTCGAGCACTGAGCTTGTTGGTTGTCGGATGGCGCTCCCATCCTATAGCACTAGGTTTCGTGGTTGGATCTCCTTCTCCGATGGAGACCACTCCAAACCGGCTCCTCCATGGTTTTCCAGCAGTGGGTCTTTCGCTATCTCTCCAGCAAAGAACTCGGACAGAAGATGTTTGCGATGGATACACCGCACGAAGGAAGGTGAGGAGGTTCCGAAGAGGCCAACCTGGGTTTTCAGGAAGAGCAGATGGATCTAAAAAGCCGATTACTCGCTGTGCAAAGGGAGTCAGCCTTGGCTCGTGAGACGGAATGCACCAATTACGTTCTCGGGAGCAACACCAGCAAAGAACTCTTCATATTGTTCTATCGACCCTACTTCGGTTATGCCGCCAATCTCCTTCACGAGAAAGAATGATCGAGTTGTCTTGAGGAGTGAGTCATAAATAGATTCCAACTGAAAGTGCTTGTAAGAACGCGAAATGCTCCTCGAAGAAGGACATACACCCTGGATCTCTTCATCCGCTTGCTTCCAGCCATTTTCTGAAATCTGCCAAGCTGGTTTGGACACGAACGCGGGGAAGGCGAACCAGTAGAAGTACTGATACTTCTTTAGATCAGCGAATGTTATTAGTAAGAACTGCGTGAGGAGAGACGTGTCTTTGGTTGTTATGATGCTGTCCCAGATCTTATTGAGACAAGTATTACCATTTGCTATCGGGCGCGTCAAGTCATGATCGCACCTTGGAAACGACGTCATTAATGAGTGCAGCCTTATCTGCAGCCTTAAAGTCCTCGATAGTATTGAAGTTCTTGAAGATGCCAGTGGTATGGACGGACATGGGTGACAACCTAGGATAGAGTCAGCACATCAGTTTCAACGCGCGTCCGATCGCGACATACTGAGGTGCCTTCTGGTAAGCGTCTTCCCCTACTGTGAGGTTACATCCAAGAGCGATATCGTGCCCTGTTTCGCGATCTCTGATTGATCGACCGACGGAATATGATCCATTCACGGTAATAGCATCTTCTGAGAGACGAAGGACATCTATCTTCATGCGAGTGAGCTCATGCCAAAAACCTGGCTGAACAAGTGATGCAAAGGGCGCAAACTGGACGACAGGCATGTCGTCGACCCGGGTAGTGATGGTAGTTGCAATGAGGCTTGATGCTGACTGACTTGACTCTCCATGTTCACAGGGACACACACCTACAAATGGTAAGCTCGGTCCATTAACTAGTACTAAAATAGTAAAACTTCACCGGTTAATCTCGATCAGCTCTCTCGGCCCATCAGAGGAAACTACAGTATGGAGAACTACCCGTCTATAGAAGAACTGACAGACTCAAGATTGTTATTAATACAATGCTATATGTCAAATCATCGTGCACTCGCGAACAAAGTCTGAGAGCAACGCAAACATTCACCTTTTCGCGTTGCGCTTGTCTTCGAGTTGATAAGCAGAAATATTGAAGAATTACATGAAAACCACCGACAGTATCAGTGTGCAAAGGAATCCAAGTATCATTTGCCGATCTCGTCTAGCTAGTGTCCATTGCATCACCGGTGGCGCCTACAAGTGTGATGTCTTCGTTAACAATCAAATCTCTTATATTTTCGCTCTTCCATGCCGTGGTCCCTCTTCTGAATGTGTAATGGCGTTCCTTCTCTACCCGCTCGTTGGGCTTGACAAAATTGCGAAGCATCTCCGTTTGCGTGGCAGTAATGATACATGCATCAACGTTGGACCCTGAGCCAAGGTCGTTGAAAATACCAGCTGACACAGCGGCAGACACTAGGGCCAAAGCTTCGTTGCGCTAGATGAGACTAGGATTGAACATCGGCCACATATAAGAGCGGTGAAACGTACCTCCATGTTTGGCTTCCAGCTGCTTTCAAAAACAGCCATAGCTGCCAAGCTTCCGGAGCCCATGGTCACGTAAGGCAACTTGTCTGTAGACCCATGTGGATGGATGGTGAAAAGATGTGGCCCAGTCGAATCAACTCCTCCAAGGACAAGAGCAGCTCCGACATGGCCCTGGTATCTACACATCGCATAAATAATAAGATATTGAATACTGAACACAGTTGGGCTCACTGGAAAAGGTATTGCTTCAACATAGTCATCACAGTGACCACTCTTGGCTTTCTCCCAGTGGACAGAGCATGGAGCTCCATATTTGATGATATCGACGCGGTAGTAAACTCGGTGTCTGCAGCAGTACCTGCACCACAGCACCGGATCGATTCTGTTATGTAGTGGATCTAGGGATGCATATTAGATTAAGCAGAATGGTATTGATCTCCAAGAGCGGACCTTTTCACAGTTCTTGTCTGCAATTATTTCGCCTTCTGTGGCACGCGTGTCGGCACCAAGGATAATGCCATCTTTGAAGAGACAGCCTACGATTGTGGTACCGGTGCTGGTAGCCTTTGGAAGGGGCATGCCCTTCTCCTGGAGGAAATTATTTCTATACGACTACTCAGACAACAGCTATATAAACAATATAATGTCTTGCTCACCTAACAGAGTTAGAAAAGTCGAATCCAGGAGAACTGAAGGCCGATTGTTGTGACATTGTGGAGGATAATCTTAAAGCTTGTAGACAAGCTTGCGCATTCGTGTTACGCGTCTGACTAGGACCCCTTGAACCTATTACCATATGTGAAAGTAATTGGCACCGCTGGGCAGCTCTAGCTGTGTCAGAGACTCAGAGGTTCCACATCTTGAACGTTCGAACCCTTCATCTCCCTAGTTCTTGTATCATTATCATCATTTTCAAGTCAACTATGGACGGCTGGAACAAATTTCAATCGAGTCTTTCCGGCCTAAACCTGGGGCAGTCCGCAAACAAGTTTGCAAAGGGCTTCAACTCCAGTGTTCAGGCAACCAGGGAGCGTTTAGGTCAAGTTGCCCCAGACGAAATCACGGAGTTGCCGCAAGGTAGGCTAGCTCTTTTATAATTTGGATACTGAATCCCAATATCTATTCCAGAGTACAAGGATTTGGAGGCTCGCGTAGACGCGTTGCGTCAGGCACACCTAGCACTTCTCAAGTTCGTGCACTTCGTTTGTGTATCAGCTCAGCCCTGATATCTCACCTCAATCAGAGTAACCAAGGCCTATGAGACTGAGTCGTATGACTACCCGACCCAAATTCAGGAGTCTATTACTGAACTCTCGACCACCATTGGCCATGGTATTACAAACTTCGCTGCTACAAACCTGAAGGGCACCAATCTTCCTACGCCCTCACCTGTTGCCCCGCAAGTTTCCCAACATAAGACTCTCCCTCATGCTCTCTGTCGCGCTGCGACTAACGCCGCCGCCGCCATGCAACGCACCCCTGCTGGTGATGAAGATAAACTCGGTAAAGCACTAACCGTGTACGCAGATGTTTTCGACAACATTGCATCAGCTCGCGTCGAGCAAGACGAATCGATTCAGGCCCAATACCTCCGCCCGTGGCAGACGACGCTTTCAACGTCTATCAATGTCGCAATGAAAGCACGCCAAGCCGTTCGCGTCAGCAGACTTGAGTTGGATGCCGCTAAGCAGACGTCATTGCTTTCACTAAGCTTTGGTCCTTCAAGTGCTTACACTTTTCTCATACAGTCTCAAAACTACGAGTCCTGCTAAGCAAGAGCAGGCAAGGCTTGATGTCGAGAACGCAGAGGATGACCTCGTTCAGAAGACTGAGGTTGCCATTACCCTCATGAAGACAGTTCTTGAGAATGTATGTCACAAGTATTCGCTTTTAAACACTTTGCCTTAATGTTTGTAGCCGGAACCTCTGAAGAATCTCAATGAACTTGTGAAAGCTCAGGTATGTGTCTTATGATAAGAAGGCCGTGAAGCTTACCCTTGGTTTGCAGCTGCTTTACTTTGCAGCAGCAGCTGAAGCTCTCTCTTCCGCACAAGGCGAAATTGAAGAGCTCAGTGTCGCCGCGGAGGGAGAATATAGGTAAATATTTCCCTCCCCTGTCAATGACATCGCTCATGTCTTGTTAGGAAGTCCCGCGACCACTGAATTACCCTTACATTAGATTCATGACATGTCGCATGTACATTCTCTTGTTAGGTAGTTTTATATTTAGCGCTACTGGTGTCCTTGTACGTCTCCGTATCGCAACACTATGCACAAACTGGCTTTGGACGTCATAATAGAGGTGTACTCGACTAATCAATGATTGAACTAGTCATTCAGACGGCGTCTAGACTTCCCCCTTCTCCTAGTTCTTATTATTTACAAGCGTCCATGTGCATACAATTGATCAAGGTGTTTCTTGATGTACATTGGAGCTAACATAATCTTACTACGTTGCAAGTACATGCATCTCTTAACCTTGCAAACCACGAGCACGATGTCATCTAGCATTGAATTGGAGGCTATAGGCTATATATTGGTGCAAGATGAATAATGTCCAGCTGGCGGATTTCAAACTGTCATTACAGGTCCTTACTTCCTGTGCCGACTTCCTGATTGCTGTTACGCACCTGTAGTGTACCAAGCTTATCACACAGTACTTCCACGCTTCGTTGCTGTCTCCCGGTGTCAATCACGAGCTTTCTATGTATTTGACTCCCAGCTGGAATTCACCAGAGGACAAAGACGCGCGGTTGTCCATCACTCACATGGATCGGCAGCAAATCGAAAATACGGTAGTACTTCGACGTCGTCCCATCACCATCGAATGAAAACGGCAACACAACAATAAATCCATTGAAGAATGATTCTACAATGGCGGTGTATGAATTAGTCCCAGTTATACAATACAATTTCATAAATGTCAGATGGAGCAAATGACGCCTTCTCTCGTGTCTAATACCCCGATGGTCGTGTGCTCGACTTGGATGTATCGTAAGCACGAATGAGTTTTGCCTGATCTTGACGACCGTTCTCTGTCTGACTGAATGCAAATCCGCGGTTCCGGCGCATGCGCTGGACGGCGCGGACTTTTTTGATCGCTTTTTGGAATCTGACATGATAAGGGGTTAGCATCAACCAGCATATGCTATTTGAAGTGACACGCACTGTTCTTGACGCGGACGGTAGTCGGGAATGTTGTACTTTTGGAGCTCTTGAGCGATATGATATGGAAGAGGAATATATGTTCGTCGGTAGCTATATGAAAGGCGTCAGATAGTTACCCCGCTCAAGCGGGGGTGGACGTACTATTTCCAAATAAAGTCGCGGCTCAGGCAGACAACAGGAACAAGGATGAGGACAAAATAAAACACAGCATCAGTCCATAGACGAGGCACAAGTCCATAGTATTCGGTAGAGAATCCAATGGCAGGAGCAACAACGGCATATAAAGGAAGGAAGAGCATAGTGAAAACGAACGACCCAGGAATCGCTGAGGAAAAGATGTCGGTTGGATGATTGTTCATAGAGGAATATTTGCGCTCACCAGCAACAGTGTATTTTGTCCACAAACTAGAGTACGCATCAGTATACGAGGGTAAGACAAGAATAGGGACACGCACTCAGAAACCAAAGCGGCTTTGCCAAGGACAGTGAGGAGAACAGCCAGGTAAAGCATGGCACCCCAAAACCAATGCCCAGAGTCCAAACCCGTCGCTTGCTTCAAATCTCCCCAAAACAAAATCACAGTGAATGTGAATAAAATCTAGAAACGCCATCATCATCATCACTATCACTGAATTCTTTGTCGCTTTGGAATGAGACTCACGAGACTGTGATAGAGCGCATTGCCTACCCAGAGCCAGAATGCTGTCTTGGTAAAGAAGACGTTCTTCTGCCCGAGTGCATATAGTTGTGGGTATCGGTCTAGAATTCGGGCAGATACGAACTGATCAAACACGCCGATGACGAGAGGGGGAAGAACGGTAAAGATGACGTTATAAAATGATATCGTCCATGATTCGTAGGCAATCTGCCCCGAGAAGTTATTGAAGAAGGAATACTACAAGGTGATATTAGCTGGACATTTGCGAGTGAGCGGGCGGATGCGTACCCAAAACTGCGTCATGTAAAGCGTAATGTTCTTGTAAAACGAGTCTGGTCCTTAGTGATGAACATGCGTAAAACGGAGATAAACAAATATATACGTACAAAGGATGAGTTTCGACAGTCTCTGATAACTCCACGCGCCATGAACCAGCAATAACTTCTTGAGAAATCTAAACTGTGAAATTGCCACATCCGCAGACCGCGCAGCTTGTAGACCCTATACAGATCGCTTTGAATACAAATGCAATGTCGCACGCTAATGATCACATACCTCGACTCCAGAGATCCCCACGCCCACATGCGCTGCCTGGATCATGCTCACGTCATTTGCTCCGTCACCGATTGCCAAGAGAATGCTCTTCTGGTTCTTCTTGACAAGTTTGACGACAAGAGCTTTTTGAAGCGGAGATACTCTGCAACAGATGACTGCGCGACACATGAGCGCGAGCTCCAAAAACGACTTGGAAAGCTCTTTCTCAAGTGCGAAACCTAGGCTTTTGCCGTCTACAAAGGAAGGGCGTCAGAGGGTATGAATTGATTTCGTGCGCGCGCTGACCTATGACCAAAGCCAGATCTTCGAGCTCCCCCGTACTCCGCTGATTTTTGATCGCTGAAAGTCGCTTCTGGATAAAATCCGCAGTGTCACGCGAGTTGTCTTCGTTCACAATGACCTGTAGAGGTAGAATATTAGCACTAGAATATCTTCGCCGCATGCCCAACCTACCAAGTTCATAGACTCTGAGATCAACCGACAAGACATGCCGATATTGATCGCTGTCTCTTGTCTGTCACCCGTAAGCACCCAGATCTACGTACCACATCAGCATTGTAGACATAGATATCATGATGAAATGTCTGTGACAAACGCACCTTGATCCCGGCCATTTGTAACGTATGTATCGTATCTGGTACGCCGTCCTGGAGCTTATCCTCGATAGCTGTTGCTCCGAGCAAAAACATATCCTTCTCGATCAACTCCGCCGCACTGTCGAGGGCATCTGCGCGGCCGTTGATCGTTGCAGCTGCTTGCTCGTATATGGAGGCCCACTGCCGGTATTCGGCCTCTGGGACGTCGCGGTATGCGATGCAAAGAGTGCGTAGGCCTTCAGTCGCGTAGTCCTGTGATTTGATTAGGTGAGCACAATGAACATTGGTAATACTGAAGGGGAAAGCAACAAACTTCAAGATGAATAAGCGTTTTCTCAGTGTACTGTTGCGCCTTGGCAAGACGCTCGAGGATGACGGTGTCTGCACCCTTGCAGAAAAGCTTGATTGAACCGCTGGGCGCGCGCACAATCGTCGACATACGTTTGCGCGTCGAGTTGAACTCGCATACGTTGAGAATCTCGTACTCGGCAGGAGCGTTGTTGATTGAAAGAAAGACAGAACGGGGTTTGCGAGTCTGCGGAAGGGTGAGTAAGCAGTGTGATTAAAGGGATGCAGGGGTGTAGAGAAGGGGTTAGAAGAAATGTGTAAAACAGTATTCAACAAGGAATGAGCGACCTACATGGAACTGATACCCCATCATCTCCGCCCCTGCCACTAACGCCGCCTCATCCGGACTACTGGCCTGATAATGCATCTTCCCATCTCTCACCTCCGGTATC